AGGCGCGCGACAACACCTCTCTTGAATATGCGCGCTCAACCCCCCCTCGGCGCTTTACAATACTCGCGCCACAACACAGCTGATCAGAACGCGCGCCACAACACAGCTGATCAGAACGCACGCGACAGCACCGCTATTCAGCACGCGCGCGGCGACAACACCCGCTTTAGGTTCGATCATTTTCATCTTTTTTTCATCTCCGCTACTAGCAGCACACTCCATTTCCGCATTACTGGATCTGTAGCGACAACAGACCGCAAAGGATTATGGCCACGCCGGGGCTGATGGGAAATGAAGTTTCAGCTACGTCCCGTTCGCTTCATTCGCCTGAGCAAATTTTCTCAGGAGACCTATAGTTTTACCGAGTCATGCGACTTCGGTAATATCGAAAAAAATTAATATTGCGGTATGACGGTATTTACAATACCGTTACATCCCTAATATATACACATATATACACACACACACACACATATATATATATATATATATATATATATATATATACACACACACATATATACATATACCATCCATCTTTAGTAAACTTAATTTACTTATAATTTACTATATATATATATACTATATATATATATATATATATATATGTATATATATATATAGTAAATTATAAGTAAATTAAGTTTACTAAAGATGGATGGTTTGCAGTTTCATCAGCAGAAGCCAGCTTCAACACTCGCATGAGTTCCTAGGCCGCTCTGCCTTACAATCACCAATCAATAACAGCTATACTCTCACATAACGTCATTAACTGCGTCACACATACACCTGATTGGTTAAAACACAGATAGACTAGAAACATTTCCACGTAGGGTTCGTGCGTATATTCTGAACAATATCTTAAGCATAAACGTCAGACACTGTTTAGAGCTGACTCCAGACCTGTAAAACGGATCCACAATCAAATAGAACACACACACTTAAAGTACAATCTGTTTCTTATCCAAAGCTGAGTGTACTCTCAGCCATCTTAATCAAAACTGGTTAAAAACCGCTATAATCTACATTCAGGCAGTTATAGTATCCTTACTACACAAAGTCTATCTTGAATAAAAGTAGAATCACTTTAAAAGAATTAACCGTAAAAACAGCTAAATCACTTTAGACAGTATTAACTACTAGAAATAACAACAGAAATAGATGATTCCAGTCCTTCAGATCCGCTCAAGATCTCCGAGACCTCTGACCTAGTCTGGTGGCTCCTGAAAATAGTTATAAAGAGACAGGCGAATGCACTGAACACTCTTATATTAGGCGATGTGTTCACTTATTCATTATTCAGTAATCATCTTTAATGAAAATAATGAGAAACAGGATGATGAGAAAAGGATAAACGTTGAGTCAGGCTTAGAATCCGAATCCTTCAGTTTATAAAGTGTGAATAGTCCTCACTTCAAATTAGGTCACAAAACTGGAGGACGTAAGAGCAACCTTGCCATGAAAAAAAATTCAGTTTTCATTAAAATACGGAAACTGTTTCTGGGTTTTTTGGGTAAGCAAGTATTCTACAGTACTTTAGAAATACTAAATGCATCTGTCAGTGTTCTCAGACTATTATATTTGATTTACCAAAGACCATAACGGAGAGACGTCACATCCATAACATTTTTCCTCATAAATGTGAAAATATTAAATAAAATAAAGCCAACAATTTTTGTCTTATAGAAAAACAGCTCTCATCCTTTTGATCATCATTGTTTCTTTTGGGTTGTGCGCTTTAATTCACAGAATTTCTACACAGTATGTCGTATACTGTAAACCTGCGGATTGTTTTGGTCACATTCGTGATGCTGCGTTCACACCAGATGCGGAACGCGTGTCAAGCGCGTGTGATTTACATGTTAAGTCAATGCAAACAGGCGAATAGACATCCTGCGGCGATATACGCGCGAATGTCGCGACACAAATGGTGCGGCACAAATTGGGCGTTTTGACGCGCTTAACACACGTTTCGTGCGAATCACTCAAGTTCGAAAATCTGAACTTCAGCGGACATTCGCGCCACGTTAACCAATCAGGAGCTTGCTCTTGTGGGGGCGTGATTGTGACGTATCGCCTGTTGTCGGTGTTCATCAAACTGGGCTCGGCTCAATCAGAAGCACCGCTGAAAGCCTCCGTCATCCAGGTTCAGTTTCTGGAGGAGTTTATGAGCTCACAGAGCTGGATGCTCCTCTGAAAGTATGTAGTGGACTCGAAAACGACCCTAAACGTATTAACGCTGTTTATCAGCCTTCATAAAGCACATAAACACTGTTATTTTCTTCATAAAATCCATGTTAGCCGTTTAGCTATGAAGCTAGAGTCACCGGGCAGACAGACGCCCTGCCCATCACGCGAATCCACGTCTGTTCTGAAGTGAATTTGATGCACGAATGAATAGAGTAAACTCAAATGTTCACGTGGCTATTTACGCACGAATAGCGTGATTTATCCACGGGTTCCGCATCTGGTGTGAACACAGCATAACGCATGTTTATTCTCGTACAAAACATGTTTACAGATTGATATTCTTCTGGTGCCTTAACTCTGTGGTCAGTTGTTCTGGAAAATATAAACTAAAGTTTCAATATAATGTTGACATATACTTACTTATGTCACATCCAGAACCCTGGAACAGCTCTAAAGCATTTATTAACATACAAATTAACTATTGCTGTATGCCTAAATAATCAGATGTATGTGTAAGCACGGGGAGTAACACCAACAACTGAGGTAAGAGCCAATATGCAGGTTTATTCAAAGTCAGGCAAGCGATGGTCAACACAGGTGCATACGGGTATGTGTAGGCAGTCCAGAATCGTAATCAGTCACAGGCGAGAGGTCAAAAGGCAGGCGGCAGATAAAGACAGAGATGCTAACAAGGCTAAGGTCAGTACACAGGATAACAAGACTGGGGCTGCGTCCGAAACCGCCTACTACTCAGTAGGTACTGCATTTGAATGTAAACGTACTACTCGGCCGTTAGAAAAGTGCGTCCTATACAGTATGAATGTGAGAAGTATGAATGGAATTCGGACGTACTACATCTGCCATTTTGTCATGGTCACATGACCTACCTGCGTCAGTTGCGTCGCTTTAGTCCCAATCATGAATTCGCTCGCGGGCATCATGGGATAGCGCAGTGTGCATAGGATGCGCACTTCAGAATCTCGCCGGAAGTAGGAAGTCATCCGGGTACTTCTCGCCTACTGATTTTCGAATTCTATGAATTCGGACATACTACTCAGCTCACATATTAATTTAAGCCTACTATATAGTATGGAAGTATGCGGTTTCGGACGCAGCCTGGGAAACGCATTGTAGTGCTGCTGACAGTAAACAAGACTCGGCAAAGTGAATAGGTGAGTGTGTGGCTTAAATAGTGTGTGCAATCAGTCTCTGACAATCCTCAGATGGTGCGAGTAATCAGTCTAGATGAGTGAGCATGTGTGAGCGGAGTGCATGTATGAATATGTAGTCCAGAAATGGCGGAATTGTAGTCCATGAGTTATTGAGAGTGAAATCCAGCGATCGTGACAATATGAGTGCTAATTTGAATAGTTTATTCGTCATTTACTCGCACATTCTGAATGATCTTTAAAAACCCACTGACTATTCTTAATGAACTAGTTTGTAAATGATGCAATTCTTCATTAGTGATAAAATAATAACAAAGTATGACAGCACAATCATTCAGCACATCATACATGGGTTTATAAGACCGGAACACAGCATTTGTATCTGTATTTATAAACTGCTCACTAATGTAGAGTTAATGCTTAATTCATAGTGTGTTGTTATTATGAAGTGTTACTGAGTATCCTGTTGTCTGCTGCTGTATGTAGTTACACTGATCTGTTTTGTAGAGCTGAAGCCACCAAAGGTGGAGGATGAAGAAGAGGATGAGTTTGATCTGATGACTATAGTCGAGTCCATACGGGCTCAAAGGACTGCCTCATCAGAAAATGCTGTAAGAGATGAAACTACAGGCATCCTCACCTGCCAGGAGTGTGCAATGAGCTTCAGTAGAAAAACAGACTTCGACGCTCACATCGCAGATCATGCCAAAGTAAGACCCTACACCTGCTCTCAGTGTGGGAAGGGGTTCAGGCTGAGGCAAAGTCTTGAAATGCACAAGATGTTCCACACCGGAGGACAACAAGACGATGCTGAGGGACTGACAGGTTGGTTTTCATTCTTGAAGCTCAGCTTCTTCTCAGGCAGGACTCTTGTATTGGTAACATCTTTATTAGAGGGGGTGTTCATAACATTTATAGTCATGTTGACACATCATTAAGTGGTCAAACCGATTTGTCCTTTTTGCCTTAGACCTGATACCACCAATAGTGGAGGATCAAGAAGAGGATGAGTTTGATCTCATGACTATAGTCGACTCCGTTCGGGCTGAAAGGAGCGCAAATTCGAAAAGAGAAGAAACTACAGGTAACTTCACCTGCCAGGAGTGTGGGACAAACTTCAGTGAAAAGAGAGACTTCGACGCTCACATTGCAGATCACGCCAAAGTAAGACCCTACACCTGCTCTCAGTGTGGGAAGGGCTTCAGTCAGAGTCGAAGCCTCGCCACGCACATGAAGTTCCACACCGCGGAGAAGCCCTTCAGCTGTAAGGTGTGTGAAAAGAGCTTCAAATCGAAATACACTCTGAAGTATCACCTGAGAATTCACACTCAAGCACCACAAGAGGTAATATGCGGTCAATGCGGGAAGAGCTTCTCCAGGGAAGGTTATCTGTGGTGTCACATGAAGGTTCACGCCGCAGAGAAGCCGTTTAAATGCAGTCACTGTGGGAAGGCTTTCACCTTTAAAAAAAGCTACGAGACTCACCTGACGCTTCACCGGGAAATGACGTTATTCACATGTCCTCGCTGTGGGAGGAAATTCACTAACGAGAGTAATCTGCGCCGTCACGTCAAGAGTCACCCTGTACAGAAGCCTTTCAAATGTGGTCAGTGCGGAAAGGGCTTCGAGTTAAAGAAAAGGTATCGGACTCACTTGAGGATTCACACCAAGAAAAGGCTATTCCCATGTGCTCAGTGTGGGAAGCGCTTCCCTAAAGAAAGCGATCTTCAGTATCACATGAAAGATCACGCTGTGAAGAAGCCTTTCAAATGTGGCCAGTGCGGAAAGGGCTTCATAATAAAAAACAGGTATCGGACTCACATGAGGATGCACGCCGAGGAGAGACTATTCCCATGTGCTCAGTGCGAGAAGCGTTTCCCTACAGAAAGGGATCTTCGGTGTCACATGAAAGATCACGCTGTGGAGAAGCCAGTTGAACAGAGTCTCTTAAGAAATGGATCATCAAATGATGATAGGATCGATCACGATGATCAGAAATTATTCCCATGTGCTCAGTGTGGAAAGAGTTTCTCTAAAGAAAGCGATCTTCAGTGTCACGTGAAAGATCACACCGTGGAGAAGCCAGTTGAACAGAGTCTCTTAAGAAATGGATCATCAAATGATGATAGGACCGATCACGATGATCAGAAATCGTTCCCCTGTGGTCAATGTGGGAAGAGTTTCCCTAAAGAAAGCGATCTTCAGTGTCATGTGAAAGATCACGCTGTGGAGAAGCCAGTTGATCAGAGTCTCTTAAGAAATGGATCATTAAATGATGATAGGACCGATCACGATGATCAGAAACCGTTCCCATGTGGTCAATGTGGGAAGAGTTTCCCTAAAGAAAGGGATCGTCGGTGTCACATGAAAGATCACGCTGTGGAGAAGCCTTTCAAATGTGGTAAGTGTGGAAAGGGCTTCACGTCAAAGAAATGGTATCAGACTCACATGAGGATGCACGCCCAGGAGAGGCTAATCCCATGTGCTCAGTGTGGGAAGCGTTTCCCTAAAGAAAGGGATCTTCGGCGTCACTTGAAAGATCACGCTGTGGGGAAGCCTTTCCAATGTGGTCAGTGCGGAAAGGGCTTCACGTCAAAGAAAAGATATCAGAATCACATGAGGATTCACGTCGAGGAGAGGCTATTCCCATGTGCTCAGTGTGAGAAGAGTTTCTCTAAAGAAAGCGATCTTCAGTGTCACATGAAGAGTCACCCTGTACAGAAGCCTTTCAAATGTGGTAAGTGCGGAAAGGGCTTCACGTCAAAGAAATGGTATCGGACTCACAAGAGGATGCACGTCCAGGAGAGGCTAATCCCATGTGCTCAGTGTGGGAAGCGTTTCCCTAAAGAAAAGGATCTTCGGCGTCACATGAAAGATCACGCTGTGGAGAAGCCAGTTGAACAGAGTCTCTTAAGAAATGGATCATCATATCATGGTAGGACCGATCACGATGATCAGAAATCGTTCCCCTGTGTTCAATGTGGGAAGAGTTTCTCAGAGAAACTGAGCCTTAACGCCCACAAGAAGATCCACTTTAGAGGAGTTATCTTCAAGTGTAAGCGATGCGGAAAGAGATTCTCTAATAAAGCGGGCATCAAGGCCCACAGGAAAACTCACGCTACACCGCGGCCTTACGTCTGTGGTACGTGCGGGAAAATATTCAACAACAAACAGACGCTGAGTCACCATGAGATGCGTCACGTGAAGGAGGTTCCATGCGAGGGCCGTGCGGAAAGAGCCTTGAGGCGGAGAGAAAAACTGGACAACTCTGTACTGGAGGATCTCAGGAGCGATGTAGAAGCTCAGACTGTGGAGAACTCAGGGCAGTAAACCTTCAGATGAAACGTTCGGGAAGCCATCTATACGAAATGCTGTATTTCTACAGTGTGGGTTCAGGGTTATGAGTGTGTTTATACCATGTTTACCACAGGGATAATTTATACACAAGCTGAGGCTGGTGTGATTAATCGGAGGCAATGTTGAAGTGCATTTTGTTAGTAAAGCCGGTTCTAGTAAATCCCTCACATGGAGATCTGAAAGACTTGAACACTGGGGGAACAGTCTTAACCATCACCCTTGGCCTTCTGTTGTTGGGAATATGCCCCCTTGGCATTTCTCAATCTCAAAATAAAAACAAACAAGCTGTCGATTTAAAACAAGCAGGTGTTTAAGGATGTAAAATCAGGCTATTAAATTTCTTAAGCTATGACTCAAGCTGGACTTTTTTCTCCTTAGACTTATATTCATACGCATGCAAATGCGCCAGACTGGAAACGCAAGCTTGTGCAGCAAGTTTAGTACGCTGGAAAGTTTAAGCTTGGTGAACTCTGACCTGCGAAATCGCATCACTTGACTGCGTGAGACCAATCACAGATCAAAGCAGGAGTTTAAAACATGGACTAATCGCTTGATTTTTTTTAATGTTTAATGATCTTGTTTAACCCCGCCCCTTTCCACAGTGCCGTACGACAGGATTTCACAAGCTCAAACTCTAGTGTGACCGCAGCTTCAGTTTTAAAACTCCTAGGCTGCGTCTGAAATTGCATTCTTCCACACGGTATAGTACGCTAAAATCAGTATACACGCCGAGTAGTGTGTCCGAATTCATAGAATTCGAAAATCAGTATGTGAGAAGTACCAGGATGTCCTACTACCTCCGGCGAGATTCTGAAGTGTGCTATCCCATGATGCAGAATTCATGAATGAGAGTGAAGCGGGTAGGTCACATAATGGCAGATGTAGTACATCCGAGCTTCATTTATACGTTTCTGTTGGAGATGCCTAATAGATTAATAGATACCGAAACAGAGGGGGGAGGGGGATCACCAGAATGGGGAAGTCATAGAGTAAAGTGAGAAAATATGATACACCGCTGTTTTGGAATAGGGAAAACTTGGGCCATCACCATACTGGTAGATCTGTCTCTGTGGGATAGTCGAAGGGGGTGGGAGGTTTGGAGGGGGTTAAAGTGCCTAGCGTCTAGCTGAGATCAAGACCTTTTATTATGTTTGGCTAGCTAAAGCGAGCTACTTCTGGGAGGCCAATCAGGGAAAGAGATCAGAAGGAACAGAGCTGAACTTTTTTATTTTAAGTGAAAAGTAGAGACGTCCAATAGATTAATAGAGACCGGGAAAAGTCCACAGAAGGGAGGGGTGATCACCAGTATGGGGAAGTCCCAGAGTAAAATGAGAAAATTTGATACACCGGTGTTTTTGAGTTATGGAAATGCTGTCTTTACACTGTTTTATATTACTTGTTATTATTTTATTTATACTTGTGTCTTTTATTTCTGTTGATTAAAACACTTTGAATCGCCACTGTGTATGAAATGTGCTAATAAACTTGCCTTCATACTGTATGAGCAGTACGTTTAAATTCAAATACAGTAGCTCCTGAGTAGTGGACGGTTTCGGACGCAGCACTAGTTGACTGAAAATCTACGCATGTCACATGCAAAATTGAAAACGATTTAACTGGAGGATTAATTAGTCGCTCCTCATTGAACTAAGAGTTGCGCTACATCTGAAACCATGTAAAATACAATGTTTATTGGTTTTACTTCAAACTGACACCATAGTCATGAGTTTTGAATCAATTAAACTGATTTAGTTCTCAGTTTTGGCAGAAAAAAGCTGTTGTATGGTAAACGGTGTGCTCTTCAGGACTTACCACATATTCATCACACATTATATAGCCTGGGCCCGGTTTTTCAAAAGTAATCCACTGGGATTTTGGATAAGGGACTGGATCAAATCTTGAAAATGGGTTTTTCAAAAGAAAAAACGGATTACCTAATCGGATTAGATCACGTAATCTAATCTTGGTTTTGATCCGGATCAAATCTTTACTTTGGGTTTTTCAGACCTTTTTTGTAGGATTTGGATCACTTTGATCCAAAAAACCTGGATTAAACTGATCCCACCAGAAAGGTGGATTTAGCGTGGATTTCATGCCCAAAATGTAATAAAAACTTAAAAATGTTATTAAATAGTACTATTTTTGGATCACACAGTATCTTACGAGATATACTATTGATTCATAAGGTTTTCATTTTATTTGTTCATCTGTCAGGCTGTAGTGATTATTGGCTTTAACGTATTCAGCCTTTCAGTATAGGCCTACAGCAAAGTAGAAATAGTTTGGCCTCATAAAATAATCCCCCAAACAGCTGTCAAAATTTACCAAAAACAATACATTTTATTGTCAATAATTGATATCTATATTCATCACAATGGAGAATATTTTTGTTTTTAGAATATTTATTAGTGATGCATGCAATGATTACAGAATAACCAAAAAAAAAAAAAAAAAGTGCAACGAATGGCAATGACTGATTTTAGAAATCTCTTTCAACAATTGCAAAAAGAGACTGAAAGGGCAGAAGCACAGCTTCATCTGGCAGAGGAACAACTGACTCTAACCAAACTGCAGCAAACCAAGGCCAGACTTCAGATCCGCCTCCTAAAGCCTACAATCAGACAAGCTGCTCTCTCCACATCAGATGAGGAAGTCTGAAATTATTGTGGAGTTTTTGACATTAAGTCTTTTTTTTTTTTATTTACATCTATATTTGAAACTTATTATAAATATCCTCAATGTACAGTGTTGTAGGTCTCAGATGAGCGGACTGCTTGAAGAGGATGGGGTGGGGTTTTACTTGTTTTTATTATTTATTATTATTATTATTATTTTATTATTTATTAAATTTTCTTAGTTTTCATTTTAAATAAAAATAAAGTTATATCTACCCCACACTGGCTATTCTACTTGTTGCTCTTTACACAGGCCTATCTATTTATCTACATTGTGATTGAGCACTGGTAATCCAGATTTAGTGATCTTGAAAAGTTCCTATCCGGATCAGATTGATCCAATCCAATGTTGCTTTGAAAAACTGGCTCATAAAGTAAGCTGGATTACGTGATCACGGATCGCAAAAACAGGATTACTAAATCCGGATCAATTTGATCCGGATTAAACCTTTTGAAAAACCGGGCCCTGATGATATGCAGCATGATCTGCATCCAGGAGGATCTTTGATCATGTGTTGGAGAATCACAGACCTGCCGCCTCCAGACAGAAAAAAAAACTCCTAAAAAAGACAAAAGTTTTAAATTATGAGTCATTAAAGTGACAGTATCAGTATACACCGTGTCGAGCTGTTGCTTTGCTCTACATTAAGAGTTTGCAACAGTTGGTTTTATTTTCTTTGTTTACGCATTTGAAAAAAAGGAAGATACAATATTTTGATATGGGGTAAGCTGATGATAAAGCTTTGTTAGCAACAGAGAAAACGGTAAGCTTGTAATCATTCTGTTCTCCGATTAAAAATAAACAAATAATACTGTCCCACATGACACCACAGTAGGTGGAGGACTAGATTTTTAGATTGTATTAAAATATTAAATATTAAACTATATACATTTTAAAAATATAAAAGATGTTAACGAAATCTAGTCGACAGAATGTTAATCACAGCAGATGGAATATTACGGAGGTGAGAGACTTTTATTTTGGTGTAATGTTATGACGTCTTGAAACCGCGTCGCGTTCCCGCATCGGCTGAGAAGGGGAAGAAGAAATGATGTTTTTCAGACATCTAAAGTGTATAAATCGATAGAAAGGTAGCGATGTGGTCATTATATATTTTAGCAGTAATAAATGTGATATTATAAAGCTTCAGCTGACAGCTCTGAGAGTTATTTAGTGCGAGTAAAGCGCGTTTATACACAGAAGAGCAGCAGAAACGCTTATTCTGCCCACTGTATCGTCATTCAGCTCATCACAAACACCAATTCACACACTGTAAGTAGAAATGAAGACACTTCCGCACTAAACCTGCTCATCTTCTCATCTGAATTTCTCGGCATTTTTGCTGTAAAACGACCGGTCACTTTATTAGGTACACCTTACTAGTAAGTTACCGAGTTTTGCCTTCAGAATTGCGTTAATCTGACTGTGGAGGCCATTTGAGTACAGTGAACTCATCATCATGTTCAGGAAGCCAGTCTGAGATGATTGAGCTTCATGACATGCTGCGTTATCCTGCTGGAAGTAACAACCATGCCACGTTCAAAGTCTCTTAAATCCCCTTTTCTTCCCCATTCTGATGCTCACAGTACTGCAGCAGATCCTCTTCACCATGTCTACTTGCTGAAATGCAGTGAGCTGCATTAGGTGTACCTAATAAAGTGGCCGGTGAGTTTACATCATATAACAAAGGACTGTTTATAAGGACTATTAGTAACTCATTTATATAATGTAAGTTCTGCTGGTTTAATCTGTCTTGTCACAGTAAATATGTTGTTGATGATGGTGGTGGAGCGCGTCTCATGTCTCCATGTACAGCTTTCAGACATATCAGTCTATAAAACAGCAGCTTTTCATCTCCCGTCAGTTTCAGCACGTGATCTATCTACAGAAGAGTCGAGCTGAAAATGAGGAAATCAGGAAAACATCTTGCTCATTTTAAAGCCAGAGAGTTCCTTTAACTGTGAGGGATTCTCCTCCAGTGCGCACTAACTAGTGCGCTAGAGAAGTGATTGAGACACAGACAGAGGTTTAGTGTTGATTTCTTCTTGTTTGTGTTGATTCTTCTCCTCTTAAACAGACAGAGAAACTCCTGCTGAAGCGACTGAGCTCCACTATTATAAAGATGGCCTTTATTAAAGAGGAGAGTGAAGACCTGAAGATTGAGCAAGTGTTCACGTTGAAGAAAGAAGAACCTGAGGAGCTGACAGGTTGGCTTTCATTCTCAAAGATCAGTTGATGATAAGTTGGATCAGAAACACTTTAAATGAAGAGGTGTTCAGGAAAACATTAATAATCATTATAGGACACATATCATGAACTAGAAGGTGATTAAATGCATGCTTATGACCAGTGTTGGGGAGATTACTTTGGAAATGTAAAATATTACAAATTATAATATATATATATATATATACACACAGTGTAAGTCAGAATTATTCCCCCATTTGGATTTTTCTTCTTGTTTAATTATTTCCCAAATGATGTTTCTCAGATTGAGGAAATGTTCACAGTATGTCTGATAATATTTGTTCTTGTGCAGAAAGTCTAATTTGTTTTATTTGGGCTAGAATAAAAGCAGTTTTTAATAGTTTAAACACCATTTCAAGCTCAATATTATTAGCCCCTTTAAGCTATATTTGTTTTGGATTCTCTCCAGAACAAACCACTGTTTCTTGGTTAGTTGTGAACAGTATTGTGTGTAAAATGCAGTTGAATAATCAGATAATGGTTCAGGCTTTTCATTAACGCGTTCACCTAAAGGAGTTAACGGTGTTTCGGGTGTTCACTGTGTTTTAATACCGTTTTGGAGCAGTGTATACAAATCAGCTGTTCATTATGATTTATTAATCAGCACAGTTCATCATTAGGCTCTTCATTATTTGTGAATACAGCTGATGTAAAAACCTTTTAATGTTTAAGGTTTACTGAAGCCACTGCAGGATAAATCCTGTTTTAGTGTAGCCGAATATGTGTGTATTGACCTATTAATATTAGACTAATTTAGGTGAGATGGTGTAACGTTAACGTTAGTAGCTAAGCAGTCGAAAACTGACCATTACTTTGCTACTTTCACAGATTGCTTACGCAAGAAAATAACTTGCTGCGTTTGTAGCAGTGGACGTTTGGTGAGCGCGAGCCTTCTTGCACGCACAGCCAAGAACTGTGAAGGCTGTGAAGTCATTGTATAACAGTGGTTTGTTCTGGAGACTATCCAAAACAAATATAGCTTAAAGGGGCGAATAATATTGAGCTTAAAATGCTGTTTAAACAATTAAAATCTGCTTTTATTCTAGCCTAAATAAAACAAATAAGACTTTCTCCAGAAGAACAAACATTATCAGACATACTGTGAACATTTCCTCAATCTGAGAAACATCATCTGGAAAATAATTAAAAGTGAAAACAATTTGAAGGGGGGTGAATAATTCTGACGTACACTGTGTATACAGGTATTTAAACTCGACGCCTGACTTAACAGGCCACCAGTGTAGCTGTTGGCTGGCAGACCCCCAAATAAAGAGTTGCACACATCTAAACGAGTCGTAATCAAAGCATGGACGAGCCTTTCAGCATCTGGCGTAGAGAGAACAGAACAGATGCGGGCGATGTTGTGTAAGGGGGAGGGGGGTTTTAAGGTTACACAGTCCACAGATTCAGGTACACACAGTACACCAAGATGTCACACCTGCCTGGAAGAAGTTAGAGGAGAACCATCAACTGTAATATCACCATATCTATTAACAGTAGAGGGCGTGCCAATGAGTCAAATCTCAGCCTTATAGTTTTGTTGCATCCAGGCTTGAATCTCTACCAAGCAGGCGTTAAGTCAGGGATGTCAAACTCAATTCCTGGAGGGCCGCAGCCCTGCACAGTTTAGTTCCAACCCTGCTCCAACACACTTACCTGTAGGTTTCAAATAAGCCTGAAGGACTCAACTAGTCTGATCAGGTGTGTTTAATTAGGGTTGGAACTAAACTGCAGAGCTGCGGTCCTCCAGGACCTGAGCTTGACATCCCTGTGTTAAGTGTTGACAGTGAGGCAGATAGATTAGGAGATGTGCTAATGTAAATCTGTGTGTCGTCAGCATAGCAAGGATAGTTAACACCATATTTTTGAAAAGTCTGTCCGAGAGATAGCATATAAATGTTGAACAAAAGTGGCCCAATACCGAAATCTGGGGGACACCATGACACAGAGGGACGGCCCACGATCTGTGCCCTTCCCAAATACAGTTGACATCAGAAGTTTACATATGGAAGTTTGTCTGATGGTAAATCATACTGAACGCCTACTATTTTAGGTCTGTTCGGATTACTTTAATGATTTACTTTTGCTAAATGCCAGAATACTGAGAGAATTGTTTATTAATTTCTAGACAGTCAAAAGTGCACACACGTATTCTGGGTATTGTTTAGCTTTGCTTTTAAACTGTGTAACTTTGGTCAAGTGTTTTGGGTCTCCTTCCACAAGCTTCTCAATAGTTTTGGCCCATTCCTCCAGACAGAATTGCTGTAACGGAGTCAGATTTGTAGTCAGTCATGACATTCTCTATAGGATTGAGATCAGGGCTTTGTGATGGCCACTCCAAAACATTCACTCTGTTGTCCTTAAAGCACATGTGAACTCATTTGGCAGTATGCCTAGGCTCATGATCTGTTTGGAAGAGCCATTTGTGGCCAAGTTGTAATGTCCTGGCTGATGTGTTGAGATGTTGCTTCAGTATTTCTCCATAATGTTCTGTCTTCATGATGCCATCTATGCTGTGAAGTGGACCAGTCCCTCCTGCAGCAAAACAGCCCCACAACATGATGCTGCCGCCCCCATACTGCACAGTTGGGATGGTGTTCTAGGCTTGTCTGCGTTCCCCTTTGTCCTCCACATGTAACACTGCTCATTATGGACCAATCTTAGCTCCATCAGAGCACAGGACATGTCTCCAAACATACATCAAATAAGGCATTTACCTTGAGGTAGTTTTTGCAGTTGACTCAGAAACACACGCTCAAGAACAAGGCTCTTGTTTCTTCATGCTTTCTTCAGGACCTCCTGTCCTACAACATACTTACACATCTGACACTCGATGACTCTCGAATACCCTGTCGGAAGAGTCTAGAGGCTGCGACTGAGCGTTAACAGTGTCTGCTTTAATGTTAATGTTGTTTTGGTGTGTTTACACAGATGAATACTACATTAGGAGCTCTACACTGCAGCAGGATTCTGCAGGTACGCTCCTCCTCATGTGGTTTATACTAGATTTGAAACCATAAGCTTCTCTGAGTATGCTGTCGTCTGCTGCTGTATGTAGTTACACTGATGTGATCTGTGTTGTAGAGCTGAAGCCACCAAAGGTGGAGGATGAAGAGGAGGAGGAGTTTGATCTGATGACTATAGTCGAGTCTATCCGGGCTGAAAGGACTGCTGAAAGAGACGAAACCGCAAGCATCTTCACCTGCCAGGAGTGCGGAACGAGCTTCAGTGAAAAGAGAGACTTCGACGCTCACATCGCAGATCATGCCAAAGAAAGACCCTACACCTGCTCTCAGTGTGGGAAGGGCTTCATCCAGAGTCAAAGCCTCGCCACGCACAAGAAGTTCCACACCGGAGAGATGTCCTTGACCTGCAAAGTGTGTGGAAAGAGCTTCACATCGATATACAACCTCAAGTCTCACCTGAGAACTCACACCAGAGAAAGGCCGTACAAGTGCTCTCACTGTGGGAAGGCCTTCATGAGCAGCGGAGCCCGATGTGCCCACATCAGAATTCACACCGGAGAAAAGCCCTTCAAGTGCTCGCTGTGTGGAAGGTCTTTCACCCAGAGGTCAGCCCTTGCCTCGCACAAGACAGTTCACACCGGAGAGAAACCCTTCAGCTGTAAAGCGTGTGGGAAGAGCTTCACGGCAAAACGCTATCTTCAGCGTCACGTGAAGCTTCACACTAGAGTGCAGCCCTTTACATGTGGCCGGTGCGGAAAGGGTTTCCTCAATAAATCAAGTTATCAGCATCACATGGAGGAGAGACCATTCCCCTGTGGTCAATCTGAAGAGTTTCTCAGATGAGATCAGCTTCGGGAACTGGCCAACTCTGAGAAACACTCTGGAGATAGAGTTGAACACTGAGGGCTGTACATCCTCAGACATTTCACACGGCATCTGAAGCATCAGGAACAAAATGAATGTAGAAAGTCAGACTGAAGATGTGGTGGAGAACCCGTTCAGATGATGAACTTCTGTATGGATTGGTGGTCCAAGTCCCTAACCATTAGGCGACAACCTGAAACCCACAACTACCATGCAACCATCAGGCAGCTGTATGATAGAGCGGCCCAGACGGAAGACACTCCTCCTTAAAGGCGTCTGAAGGACTCTCAGAGCATCAGAAACTAAACTCTCTGCTCTGATGAGACTCTAACTGAACTGTTTGGAGTGAACGCCAGGCGTTACGTGTGGAGAACAGCAGGCGGCGCTCATCAGCAGGCTAACAGCATCCCTACAGTGAAGCATGGTGGTGTTGGCATCATGCTGTGGGGATGTGTTTCAGCAGCAGGAACTGGAAGACTAGTCAGGATAGAGGGAAAGATGAATGCAGCGATGTACAGAGACATCCTGAATGAAGACCTGCACAAGAGTGCTCTCCACCTCAGACTGGGGCGACGCTTCATCCTCCAGCAGGACAATGACCCAAAGCACAGCGCCAACATATCAATGAAGCGGCTTCACAATAACTTGCTGAGTGGCCCAGCCAGAGTCCAGACCTAAATCCTATTGAACATCTCTGGAGAGATCTGAAAATGTCACCGTCGCTTATCATCCGACCTGATAGAGCTGGAGTGGTCCTGCATAGAGGATTCAAATCAGTTTTCTGTAGATCAGTTTTGTGGGCGGAGTCACTGGGATCCTGTTTTATCCTCAGGAAATTAAAGAAAGGAGAGACTTGTTGTGTTTATTTCACTCCAGCATGACGGTGGACACTCTACACTACACACACTTCTGTCCACACATGTTTATTTTGCATCATAAGAGCCCTTTAATAAAAACCTGCTGATAGTTGTGCACTTTTAAAGTCGTTATTTAATGATTACTTTACAATAGACTGTAGTTTGTGCTACGTTTAACACAGTAAAGGCTGAATGAACGTGCGTATGTAAGTTATTTAGTTAAATATGACCTCCTGAATGTTTTCCCCTCCCTCAAATGAGAGTTTCTGCAGGGTGTGATGTCTGATGATGAAACATGCAGCAGAGCAATCGTGAATAACAGTGGCCACATTACAGTCACGCACAAAACATGCCGTCCAACTCGAGCGCCGTGCTGTATTCAGTACCTGCAGTCTCTCGTGTAGATCAGCCGTTACTGATACAGATTCATTATTATTCTTACAGTGGTCAAAGGCCACATTTGGTTTGAGACGGGTGATGGACAGAGACTGCAGAAACTGATTATATTCCTCCTCAACACCCTCATTTTACTCAAAGACCATTGAGCACCGTCTGCATTTGAGGAGTTCATGATGGATTCTGTAGTTAAATGGACATCACATCACTAATTAGTTTTTAATTACACTTCTAATTCCTCTTGTGTGTATATTTCTGTTCACTCTTGTGATTTGTAGATGCCAGCACATGAAGAAGACTGCAGAAAATAGGAGAAACAGGAGGGAATCATTAAAGTAACTTTATATGAGGATGATATTTAGACATAATGGAGTAAATGAAGAACTGTACAGGTTTGTGAGATTCTGAGATTGGGGAGCATGTCATTTAACATTAATATGAAGCACAGAGAAGAAGGTTATTGAAGTACTGGAGGAGTGAGTGAAGTAAACCCTTATTTAATTTTGTATGATTAGAAAATAATGTAAAGACTTTTTTTATAAACACTGAATTAATAAAGAGATTAGTGACTGGATTAATATATTTTAAGCTTTTAATCATTTTTTCTTTTAATAAAATTAAAGTGTAGAATTCTGCCTCACTCCAGCACAGCTGGCGGACTGACTTTTATTTTGTTATTGCGTAATGACGCCATGAAGCAGCGTCGCGTTCCCGTGTGTGAGTAAAGCGTATTTGTACACAGCAGAGCTGCAGAGGAGCTTATTTTGCTCTGTATCGTCATTCAGCTCGTCAGAAACACAAATTCAGACAATGTAAGTAGAAATGAAGACACTTCTTCACAACCTGCTGTTCTTCTCACCTAATTGTTTCAGCATTTCACTGTAAAACGACCGGTGTTACAGTCACCGGCCACTTTATTAGGTACACCTAGCTAGTGCCGAGTCTTGATTTCTTTTTCTTTGTGTTGATTCTCCTCTTAAACAGACAGAGAAACTCCTGCTGAAGCGACTGAGCTCCACTATTATAAAGATGGCCTTTATTAAAGAGGAGAGTGAAGACCTGAAGATTGAGCAAGTGTTCACGTTGAAGAAAGAAGAACCTGAGGAGCTAACAGGTTGGCTTTCATTCTCAAAGACCAGTTAATAAATTGGATCAGAAACACTTTACTTGAAGAGGTGTTCAGGAAAACACTAATAATCATTATAGCACACATATCATGAACTAGAAGGTGATTTAAGCATGCTTATGACCAGTGTCGTTGCCATTTTAAATGTGAAAGTAACATTGTAGGTGATATCTTCATTATTACGCCACATCATAACCTATTTTTGACATTAACATCATAAATCGGACATGTTTATAAAACGCATAACGAATCTAGACTACTCAAGAATGAGCTGAATATGCCGTGCATTATGATCCTCGCGTCTCCAGTAAGCACTTATCCACAAACTACTTACTTCATAACAAGCGTAATACCCCCTCTGACGCTAAATAATCCAATATATACTCTCATTCAGTTATTAGAACAGTAACGTTACATTGAGAGTCGGTGAACCGATAATACTGCGCATGTGTGATTCAGTGAACCAAACACAAACGGTACATCCTGCAGTTTGAGTCCTCCATAATACACACACTTATTAATGATTCCTACATGTCATCATCGTGATGAAGAGTAGGCAAAATCTAAGTGCGGACGGGCCCCTGTGCCCATAATGCCCATTGGCTAATCCGGCCCTGTCCATTACTACTGTGTGTCTAACCTCAGAGCAGTCTTGCACACATATTGTACTTAGGGCTGCTGTCTTGTGGGCTGTTGTGTTTGAGTTTGAGGATGGGTAGATGGTTGTGGTAGATGATAGTGTTCATGTTCAAGTTTTTATAATACAATATTTATCCTGTTGATTTTTTTAATCTTGTATCAAACAAATATCCTCATTTAAATAAAAAAAAACTGAAACTAATAAAAACTAAACTAAAACCAAGACATTTTTAAAATATAGAAACTAATAAAAACTAGGAAATCTGCCTCTAAAACTGATCAAAACTGACTGAATTTGAAAACAAAAAGTCAAAACGAAATAGAAACTGAAACGAATGGAAAATCCAAAACTATTATAACCTTGGCAGGCATTCACGCATTAAGCATGTTTGCACCTAAAAACAGCAACATGTCAACTTGCTGCAGTAAACAAAGCCCACAATGCTTGCCCCGCCCTCAAGCTCTTCTTATTGGCCCAGTGCGCTAGAACAGAATGCGAATGGATTGGTTAATATCAGCTGTCAATCACTCAGTTCCAATGACAGAGAGCTACAGCAGCGAAAATGTAAAGGTCTGAATAGGAGAGAATGAAAACAACACTGACAGATTTACATTTAGTCATTTAGCTGACGCTTTTATCCAAAGTGACTTACAAATGAGGACAAGGAAGCAATTTACACAACTATAAGAGCAACAATGAATAAGAGCTGTAGGCAAGTTTCAGGTGTGTAAAGTCTAAGGAAAGCATTAGTAATTTTTTTTTGTTTAGTTAGTGGTATATCCAGAGAGGCAATTGCAGATTAGGAAGTGAAGTGGAGACTAAATAGTTGAGTTTTTAGTGGTTTCTTGAAGACAGCGAGTGACTCTGCTGTTCTGATGCAGTTAGGGAGTTCATTCCACCAACTGGGCAGATTGAACGCGAGAGTTCGGGAAAGTGATTTCTTCCCTCTTTGAGATGGAACCACGAGGCGACGTTCATTCACAGAACGCAAGTTTCTGGAGGTGTAACGGTTGCCGTATATTGGTAGAATTTTTGCGTCCCGTTCTCTCTCTCTTTTTCTATCTCCCTCTCTTTCTCTCTCCCCATCTCTACCTGTCATATTCTTTAGGTCCGCCTTCGCGGAATCTGATTGGTCAGGAGACCAGTCACTCATCATTGGGTGACGTGGCGCTGTCACATATAAGGACGCCAGGGAGAGCGGATGAGCGCGCTTTTCCTTTGATCCCGTTTTTGTGTATTTTTGCCGACATGATTTTGTTTTTCGTTAATTTTGCTTAACTTTCGTTTGGATAAAATTATTTAGTACATTTACTGCCCATTTTTGATCGAGATTGTGATTTCTGTACATTTATATTCGATTGTTTGTTTGTTACTTTGGCACAACTCTTACCTGCTCAAATCCAAAACAGAGTTGACTTTGTCCTCAGAGTAAGGCGGACAGGGAAGATGTCGTACGACTTCCATCTTACATACACGTAGTCAATCCATTGTTTAACACACCAGGTAAGAAAGTGAATGCCACTTATGTATTTGTTTTGTTTTTAGTTCAGAATAGGTAAGTTTACGGCGCTCGGCGCTGAAGATTTTTCTTTTTCTTTTCATGTTCTAGTGAGGTAAGGGTTTCGCTTATGAGTTAGAATTGTTTTGTTATATTTATTTCTTTGATTTGGCTTCACTGGCGTCCCCTTACTCTTGAGTTGACCTAATTTTGTTTGATACTTTGTTTAATTTGTTACTTTGTTATTGTAAATATTTTTCTGAGTGTATATATTTGGGCATTATTATGATTTCACTTTTTTGTACAATAAATCACTTTTGTTGGCAGTTTTGTTGATTGTGTCTTTTGTTTTCACCCATCATCATGTAAAGGTACCACACCTCTTAAATGTTATTACTTTTACCCTAGACTAACATCAAAGAGGTTGTAACATACATCTGCACACATACATCTGCAGAAGTGAGAGCAGATAAGAAGGAGCAAAGCCAGAAGGTGCTTTGTAGGCAAACATCAGAGCTTTAATTTGATGCGAGCAGCAACTGGCAGCCAGTGCAAACGGATGAGCAGCGGAGTGACATGTGCTCTTTTAGGTTCATTAAAGACCACTCGTGCTGCTGCGTTCTGGAGCAGTTGAAGAGGCTTGATAGAGTTAGCTGGGAGCCCGGCTAGTAGAGAGTTGCAGTAATCCAGTTTGGAGAGAACAAGAGCTTGAACAAGGAGTTGAGCTGCATGTTCAGATAAGAAGGGATATCTTTTATCCACTCTTGGAAAAGTGTAAATGCTGGATTGACATTCAGCACATGATCACTGATCAGATGTGCCATTATTAGTAACTCTAGGTGGTTTCTAAAACTGAATCTGCACGGTTCAGATCTTACCTCTCAGACAGGTCATTCAGGGTGTCTTGGAGGGGAGAGGTGTCCAACCTACAGCATCTAAACACTGGGGCACCTCAAGGCTCTGTTCTTGGGCCACTTCTCTTCTCCATCTACACGTCATCTCTAGGACCAGTCATCCAGAGACATGGATTCTCCTACCACTGCTATGCTGATGATACCCAGCTATACCTCTCTTTTCATCCTGATGATCCCTCGGTTCCAGCTCGCATCTCAGCCTGCCTGTTGGATATTTCACACTGGATGAAAGATCATCATCTTCAGCTGAACCTCGCAAAAACGGAAATGCTTGTAGTTTCTGCCAACCCGACTCTACACCATAACTTTTCAATCCAGATGGATGGGGCAACCATTACTGCATCCAAAATGGTGAAAAGCCTTGGAGTAACGATTGATGACCAACTAAACTTCTCTGACCACATCTCTAGAACTGCTCGATCTTGCAGATTCACACTCTATAACATCAGAAAGATCCGACCCTTCTTATCTGAACATGCAGCTCAACTCCTTGTTCAAGCTGTTGTTCGCTCCAGACTGGATTACTGCAACTCTCTACTAGCCGGGCTCCCAGCTAACTCTATCAAGCCTCTTCATCTGCTCCAGAACGCAGCAGCACGAGTGGTCTTCAATGAACCTAAAAGAGCACATGTCACTCCGCTGCTCATCCGTTTGCACTGGCTGCCAGTTGCTGCTCGCATCAAATTCAAAGCTCTGATGTTTGCCTACAAAGTGACTTATGGCCTTGCTCCTTATCTGCTCTCACTTCTGCAGATGTATGTGTCCTCCAGAGACTTGCGTTCTGTGAATGAACGTCGCCTCGTGGTTCCATCCCAAAGAGGGAAGAAATCACTTTCGCGAACGCTCACGCTCAATCTGCCCAGTTGGTGGAATGAACTCCCTAACTGCATCAGAACAGCAGAGTCACTCGCTATTTTCAAGAAATGACTAAAAACTCAACTATTTAGTCTCCACTTCACTTCCATCTGCAATTGCCTCTCTGGATATACCACTAACTGTACAAAAAAAAAAACTACTAATACTTTCCTTCTTAGACTTTACAGAACTAAAACTTGCCTATAGCACTTATTCGTTGTTGCTCTTATAGTTGTGTAAATTGCTTCCTTGTCCTCATTTGTAAGTCGCTTTGGATAAAAGCGTCTGCTAAATGACTAAATGTAAATGTAAATATGTCAATATCTTCTGTGCAATATCACACAGCACCCGTGAGAACAGCACAGTGATTGTTGTTAATTCAGTTAATCTTATTCATGTCAAGCAGTGTGTGCAGGGCCGGTGAGTGCATGCAGAGTTTTCTTTATTTGTTAGTTGTGATTAGAGTGTTAATATATAATAGACTCTGTTAATATGTGTAGTAACGCTGCTCATCATTTTTGGTGGGTGCGACTAAATTTTGGCTGGTGCGGGTCACCAACCCTGTTCCTGGAGATTTGCCTTCCTGCAGATTTCAGTTGCAACCCTGACCCAACACTCCTCACAGTAGTTATGAAGTGCTTCTTCAGGTCCTATCTAATTGGTGTCTTTGATCAGGGTTGAATTCTGCCAAGTTGTCCTCGCTGCTGCTCATACCTTGTTGACGTAGGCCAGGGGTGTCAAAACTCGGTCTTGGAGGGCCGGTGTCCTGCAGATTTTAGCTCCAACCCCAATCAGACCTGGGCTGGCTAATCAAGCTCTTACTAGGCTTTCTAGAAGCATCCGTGCAGGTGTGTTGAGGCAAGCTGGAGCTAAAATCTGCAGGACACCGGCCCGCCAGGAACGACTTTGGAAACCCCTGATGTAGGCGATCGTCAACTATGTAGCAGACCTTATACCGCCCACTAAGGTAACGCCCATGCTTCTGTGATGGATGGGTTTAGAGTACGGGTGGTGTAGGCGATCGTGAACTACGTAGCGGACCTGGTCAACTATGTCATCAAGCTGAGGGCTGCAGCCAGGACCGTTCCAATTCTGCAGGAAGGCAGATCTCCAGGAACAGGGTTGGTGACCCCTAATATAAACAGTACAACATTAGGAGCTCTAATCTGCAGCAGGATTATGCAGGTACGCTCCTCCTCATGTGGTTTATACTAGATTTGAAACCGTAAGCTTCTCTGAGTATCCTGTTGTCTGCTGCTGTATGTAGTTACACTGATGTGATCTGTATTGTAGAGCTGAAGCCACCAAAGGTGGAGGATGAAGATGAGGATGAGTTTGATCTGATGACTATAGTCGAGTCTATACGGGCTGAAAGGACTGCTGAAAGAGACGAAACTACAAGCATCTTCACCTGCCAGGTGTGTGCAATGAGCTTCAGTGAACAATCAGACTTCGACGCTCACATCGCAGATTATAATAAAAAAAGACCCTACACCTGCTGTCAGTGTGGGAAGGAGTTCAGGCAAATTGGAAGCCTTGTCACGCACAAGAAGTTCCACACCGGAGAGATGTCCTTGACCTGCAAAGTGTGTGGAAAGAGCTTCTCATCAATATACAGTGTCAAGTCTCACCTGAGAACTCACACCGGAGAAAGGCCGTACAAGTGCTCTCACTGTGGGAAGGCTTTCATAAGCAGTGGAGCCCGATGTGCCCACATCAGAATTCACACCGGAGAAAAGCCCTTCAAGTGCTCGCTGTGTGGAAAGTCTTTCACCTATAGATCAGCCCTTGCCTCGCACAAGACAGTTCACACCGGTGAGAAACCCTTCAAGTGCTCGCTGTGTGGAAGGTCTTTCACCTATAGATCAGCCCTTGCCTCGCACAAAATAGTTCACACCGGAGTGACATCCTTCAGCTGTAAAGTGTGCGGAAAGAGCTTCGCATTTAATTGTAATCTTGAGCGTCACATTAATGTTCACACTAAAAAAAAAAAAAATAAGTGTAAAGAGTGTGGAAGGAGGTACACTAGCAAAGGCGCCCTAACTCAACACCAGAGGTTCAATCACACAGCATAAGGGTCTTCCATGTGGAAACAGCTTCAGGAACTGGCAAACTCTAAGAAACACTCTGGAGTTAGAGTTGAACACTGAGGACTGTGCATCCACAGATATTTCACACGGCATCTGAAGCATCAGGAACAAAATGAATGTAGAAGGTGGAAACCCCGTTCTGATGATGAACTTCTGTATGGATTGGTGGTCCAAGTCCCTAACCATTAGGCGACAACCTGAAACCCACAACTACAACAACTTGAGAGGCGCTGCATAGAGGATTCAAATCAGCTTTCTGTAGATCAGTTTTGTGGGCAGTCACTGGGATCCTGTTTTATCCTCAGGAAATTAAAGAAAGGAGAGACTCGTTGTGTTTATTTCACTCCAGCATGACGGTGGACACTCTACACTACACACACTTCTGTCCACACATGTTTATTTTGCATCATAAGAGCCCTTTAATAAAAATCTGCTGATAGTTGTGCACTTTTAAAGTCGTTATTTAATGATTACTTTACAATAGACTGTGGTTTGTGTTACGTTTAACACAGTAAAGGCTGAATGAACGTGCGTTTGTAAGTTATTTAGTTAAATATGACCTCCTGAATGTTTTCCCCTCCCTCAAATGAGAGTTTCTGCAGGGTGTGATGTCTGATGATTAAACATGCAGCAGAGCAATCGTGAATAACAGTGGCCACATTACAGTCACGCACAAAACATGCCGTCCAACTCGAGCGCCGTGCTGTATTCAGTACCTGCAGTCTCTCGTGTAGATCAGCCATTACTGATGCAGATTCATTATTATTCTTACAGTGGTCAAAGGCCACATTTGGTTTGAGACGGGTGATGGACAGAGACTGCAGAAACTGATTATATTCCTCCTCAACACCCTCATTTTACTCTAAGCCCTACTGAAAAAAACAGCTTAAACCAGCCTAGGCTGGTTGGCTGGTTTTAGCTGGTCAACCAGGCTTGTTTTAGAGGGGTTTTGGCCATTTCCAGGCTGGTTTCCAGCCATTTCCAGCTTGGTCTTAGCTGGTCAGGCTGGGAGATGACCAGCTAAAACCAGCTTGACCAGCCTAGCCAGGCTGGGAGCCCAGCCAAAACCAGCTATATCCAGCTTAAACCAAGCTGGTTTTAGCTGGATTTAGCTGGTCATTTTCCAGCCTGACCAGCTAAGACCAGGCTGGAAATGGCTGGAAACCAGCCTGGAAATGGCCAAAACCCCTCTAAAACCAGCCTGGTCGACCAGCTAAAACCAGCCAACCAGCCTAGGCTGGTTTAAGCTGGATTTTTCAGCAGGGAGACCATTGAGCACCGTCTGCATTTGAGGAGTTCATGATGGATTCTGAAGTGAAAAGGACACAGCAAAGTGACACATTTATTAGTCTTTAATTACACTTCTGAATGCTCTTGTGTGTGTATTTCTGCTCACTCTGTTGATTTTTAGATACCAGCATGTGAAGAGGACTGCAGGAGAAACAGGAAGTAAATTATTTAAGCATTTATATTTATTATTTAAGTATTTTTTATGTTTGAGGATAAAATTTAGTCATAATTGATTAAATAAAGCACTGTACAGGTTTGTGTGAGATTCTAGGATTGGGGAGCATTTTATTTAACATTAATATGAAGCACAGTGAAGAAGGTTATTGAAGTACTGGAGGCGTGAGTGAAGTAAACCCTTATTTAATTTTGTATGATTAGAAAAAAATGTTTGATAAACTCTAGATTAGTACAAAGATTAGCGACTGGATTAAGAATGATCTATTAGTTATTTTAAGCACTTAATCATTGCTTTTTCTCGTATTAAAATTGACATTAAGCACAGCTGGCGGACTGACTTTTATTATGTAAGTAATGGCGTCATGAATGTGCGTCGCGTTCCCGCGTCTGCTCTGAGGGGAGAAGAAATGATCGTTTTTAGACGTCTAAAGTGTTTACATGCTCAGAAAAGCGCTGTGGTGATTTTAGCACTATTAAATGTGATATTTTAAAGCTTCAGCTGAGAGCTTTGAGAGTTGTTTAGCGCGAGTAAAGCGCGTTTACACGCAGAAGAGCTTATTTAGCTCCCTGCATCGTCATTCAGCTCATCACAAACACCAATTCACACACTGTAAGTAGAAATGAAGACACTTCCGCACTAAACCTGCTCATCTAGATGTTAAAGAATGTTCATTGTGTGCTTCATTAACTGTGACTGACTGATTCTCCTCCAGTGCACACTAACTAGTGAGCTAGAGAAGTGAATGAGACACAGACAGAGGTTTAGTCTTGATTTCTTCTTCTTCATGTTGATTATTTTCCTCGTAGACAGATAAACTCCTGCTTAAGCGAGTGTAAAGATGGCGTTTATTAAACAGGAGAGCGAAGACATCAGGATTGCAGACGTGTTCACACTGAAACAGGAAGATCCTGAGAGGACTGAAGAAACATTCAGAGTCAAACATGAAGATCCCGAGCAGCTAACAGGTTGACTTCCATTCTCACATTCATTTGAACACTAATAAAACACTAATCAGTGATTTATATTTGCATTTTTATATCTCAGACCTGAAGCCACCCAAGGTGGAGGATGAAGAGGAGGATGAGTTTGACTTCATGACTATAGTCGAGTCTAAACGTGCTGCGAATGCTGACACCACCAGCCATTTCTCCTGCCAGGAGTGTGGAATGGGCTTCAGCCAAAAGAGAGATTTAAAAGACCACGTGAGGGACCACACCGAAAGACCCTACACATGCCCCCGCTGCGGACTGAGCTTCACGTTAAAGCGCGATCTTCAGAATCACCGCATCACTCAGCACTCGATACAGCCCTCGATATGCGGCCAGTGTGGGAAGCATTTCAGGACAGAGGACAAACTCCTGTCCCACATGAAGACTCACACCGGAGAGCAGCCGTTTGTCTGTGGACACTGCGGGAAGGGCTTCACCATCAAGAGAAGCTATCAGTATCACATGACGCTCCACATCGAGGAGAAGCTGCTGACCTGTGATCAGTGCGGGAAGAGATTCTCCCATGAGATAAGCCTGTACCACCACAGGAGAGTCCACCAGCCCAAAAACGGCTGTTTCGTATGTGAGCTGTGCGGGATGAAGTTCAAGAGGAAAGACCACCTGAAAGCCCACGAGAGAGTTCACGTCGCCGGCAGCCCTTACGTGTGCGTGCATTGCGGGAGGACGTACAGGACCAAAGGCAACCTAACGCAACACGAGAAGAGGACTCACGCAACAACTGTGTGCGCAGATCTCCAGACGCCATCTTCAGATGTTTAACTACAGAGAAAGCTCAAACTCAATTCCTGGAGCGCCGCAGCTCTGCATCGTTCAGCTCCAACTCACACCTGCTCAAGAGTCTCTGGCAGTCCTTCATTAGGGGATCAGCTGTGTTCGATTAGGGTTGGAGCTTAACTGTGCAGAGCTGCGGCCCTCCAGGAATCCAGCTCGAGACCTGTGATGTAAGCAGACGAAATCTATCCTCACAGAGATGAGGTATATAAATACTCGAACTGGCGACCTTCTTGCAGTGAGGCCACCACTAAGGCACCCAAGTGGTAGAAGTTATAACAAGGGTTAAACAGAACACTGTTTATAGAGAAACGTCCATCAGGTTTGTGTGAGTGGAGTGAGGGGAGCATGTCATTTAGCACTGCGTTTATTTACTATGAAGCGCCAAAAGGTTGATGAAAGAGTGAAGTAAACTCCAGTTTCATTATGTGTATCATACAACAATTGAGAAAAAAGATTAGTGACTAGTTTGAGAAATATCTATTAATTATTTTCAAGCTTTTAATCGTTCTTTCTCCGATTAAAATGAGCATCTTTAACAGTTGGTGAGGGACTTTTATTTTGGTGTTGTGTTATTGCCGTCGCGCTCACGCATCTGCTGTGAGGGGAGAGGAGGAAAGGATGTTTTTACACGTCGAAAGTGTTTAAATCGACAGAAAAGGTAAGTGTATGTTAAATATGATGCTTTAAAGCTTCAGCGAACAGCACTGGGAGTTATTTAGTGCGAGGAAAGCGCAGTTATAGACCATTTTGAGGGATGTAAACAACATTGGTCACATTTCCTGTTTGATATTGATAATCTCTACAGCTTCTGAGTTCAGATAGAGTCACATGCTGATCAATAATGCGACGAGAGCTGTTTTAACATTAAGATGTGATTGAATTGCGTCTTGTTACAGTTATAAAGTAGTTTGAAAACAAGCAGGAAACATTCATGAGACAGAAGAGCAGCAGAAAAGCTTATTTTGCCTTGTCAAAAACACACTAAGTAGAAATGAAGACACTTCCGCACTAAACCTGCTCATCTAAATGTAAAAAACTGTGCTTCATTAACTGAAAGTGTGTGACTATTTCCAGTGTGCACTAACTAGTGCACTAGAGAAGTGATTGAGACAGACAGAGGTTTAGTGTTGATTTCTTCTTGTTTGTGTTGATTCTTCTCCTCTTAAACAGACAGAGAAACTCCTGCTGAAGCGACTGAGCTCCACTATTATAAAGATGGCCTTTATTAAAGAGGAGAGTGAAGACCTGAAGATTGAAGACACATTCACAGTCAAACATGCTGAGCAGATAACAGGTTGGCTTTCATTCTCAAAGATCAGCTCTTTATTGGGATATATCTGGTTTTATATATTCAGACATTCTCTTTGATACTATAACTTCAGAAAAGTATTCTTTGAAAATTCTTCATTTGTGAAATTATAATAGCAGCCAATGATTATTAAAGTACGGCACTGTTTACAGTCGATTAGATGGTGCTGATGTTGTTTTGAAGTCATGCGCGTATGCTAATTCTGACTGAATATTCAAATTAGTGTGGTAAACAATATAGAGACAGTTAAATGAATGAATGTGTGATTATAAAGCAAATTTTACCTCAGTTAACCAGAGCTCAATGGAGCTGTGTTATCATGATTCACCATGGAAAGTTGAATTATTTGCCACAGTATTAATAATAGATTGGGAGGGTACTAAATTACAGGATGTTAGATTTTTTTTATGGTACATCGTTGCCAAAAATAATTGCTTTTTCATGTCAAACACTTAGTGTCAACCTCAGTGTGTCTCAATGTGTACTGAGCCAAGTTCATCAGTGCCCTTACTAGTGCGCAAAATGATGTTCTCAATGACAGCCTCAGAGGCTAGTGTGCAGATTGAGACGCAGACTGTTTATTAAAAGTATACTTCAATATCTTTATTAAACACTCATTCTGCAGTTCCACATTTACTGTGTTTATACTGGATATAAACGAATGTGAGTAGAGACGGGATAAGTAGTGATCGAGCTGTCGAACTCACTCGTGTTCTGACTGAAACAGTTAATCAGTTTATGTCGTTTGAGGGCAGATCTGCTGTAAATCAGCACTTGGTAATCAACATTACAAGCACTCGTCTTTTAGATTTGCATTGTTTTTTTTAAGACACAGGCAGATCATTTACTCCAGTAAGTGTCAAGTGTGCTTTGTGCCGACTGCCATTAGAATTTTACCTACTGGGTTTCAAGTATGAATAGAGTTTAACTGAGTTTTTGATGACATTGACTGCATTTCAGTGATATGCGTAACATAAAGCCAAAGATACATTTGCATTTGTGGACAATAAAGAAATTAACATTTTAAATGCATTTAGAAATTTAAAAGTCAATTTCTAACATATATAACACCAGAAATAAATTTAATAGAAATATTCTGGACATTTGTGGGAAATGTTTGACTTACAAGGGCACACTGTTCTATTGTGTTTGGCAATGTGAGCGCTTGTAATTCTTTTGGAAAGAAATAATTGGTGTAATCTCTAAAACTATTGGTAAAGAAATCCCTGTTTGCGCTAAAATCTGTATACTTGGTCTTTTCCCACCTGCCTTATCGCTGAAGTCATATGAACAGAAGTTTATAAATCTGTGTCTATTACATGCGAAGCGCCTGATTGCCATTCACTGGAGAAGTACTCGTGCTCCAGCTTTGTCACTCTGGATTAAGGAAATGTCTTTGTGTATAGCAATGGAAAGATTGACTTATTGAATCAAACAAAAAATGCACATATTCTACAAGATTTGGGACTTCTTCCTTTATTTTTTAAATGAGAGTGGACTGACCGTTTAGTAATCCCAAACAGTGTGACTGTTAATATACACTGTGTTTGTAATGACTAACTTTAATATACTCTTCACTTTCACTGGAATGTATATGTTGAAATGTCAATGTTTTAATGGTATTTATTTTTTATATTTTTTTAATTTTTAACAGAATTGCCCTTTTTATTTTTATTATTATTATTATTATTATTGTTTTATCTTATTTTAGTTAATTTTTATTTTTTATTTATTTGTTTATGTATTACTTTTCTCGCATAAGAATGCATTTTTTTATTCTATTCTTTTATTTTTATTTGAACGTCGGGATGGGGCGGGAGTTCTTTGATTGGTATTTGGTTACTAATACAGTATGAATGCATCACATTTTTCTGAAACAATAAAAGTGTTAAAAAAAAACAGCATTTGCAACAAATCTGACCATTTAAAGTCTTAATAAAACAAGATTTAAAACGAAAAAAAAGTCAATTTCTATATTGAATTTGCATCTTAATTAAAGTTTTTTGAATATTTGAACTTTTAAATATAATAAAAAGCTTAATAAGAAAAGCATGAATAAATGAGTCATTTAAAAATGAGTTTAAAAGCAGAGAGGAGGGCGAAAGAAACTGTTTAGCCTGCTCTGGCCCAGGTCTGCTTTATAAAGTAAATTACCACAGTAACTGACTCTGAGAGGGAGTTATTCCTCTTTTAGAAACAGGCTTGTCTTACTCTATCTCAGGTTTGGAAATCTGAAACCAAAAACCCAGATTTTTCCCTCATTTCAGGATTAACAAACTCAGTTTAACTAATCCTGCTTTGTGGAACAGCCCAGCAGACACAGGGAAACACATGCAGTCACTGTTCTGACCACAGCATCCTCTCGCTTTTCCTGAGATTTACCTTTATTTACCTTACATTTTTTTTTATTTACCTTTATTTACCTCTAAGCCAGAGCTGTCACCACTGGCTTGTATGGTTCAGGATCTGAAAAGCTACTCATCGATGAATTTGCTCTTCAGTGTTTGGACTCTCAGTAATGATTAAACAACACTGAACTGAGCTGAGCTGAACTGAACTTAAACACTAAAAACTGAACTACCCTGATCCAGTTACTATGACCAGTTATGTGAAGCTGCTTTGACACAATCTACATTGTAAAAGAGCTATACAAATAAAGTTGAATTGAATTTATTTTGCCAGTCTGTCCTGTTAAAGTATTGCTCCTGTATTTTTAATCTTTCTATAAAGGGTGGCGACAAACGTCTTCAAAAGCAGACCCTCCCCCCCCCCATATGCATATAATACCGCATGACCACCAGCGGGCGTCCTGCTCTTAAATGTGAAACTCTGCTTTCATTTCATTCAGTCTTGAAAACACTTTGAAATTAATATTAAATGGCCGCATTTCCTTTCTTTCCATTTATTTTGTTGTTAATGCACATTATAAGAGCAGTCAAATCTCTTATTTCCACTTCCCAATGTTGACGATATGAGGCACATTCATGTTTCTTTCCTCTCACAACTGTACGTCAGAGCATGAAAGATGTAGCTAAAGTCAAGAGCTGTCTGACTCTTGTTTTGCTTCCTCCAGTGGATCATGAAGAGGTCAGATCTGAAGACGGAGCGGCAGAAACTTGCTCCGATTTATCCAGTGAATCTGAAGAAGAGGAGGAAGAAGATCCCTGTCAGCGCTCGAGACAGTGAGTGTGTCTTTCTAAAGTAAATATAAATATACTTAAAGTAAATAAATTATTCACCCTCTAATGTCCTCTAATGTCTGTTCTTCTGGAGAAAGTCTGATTTGTTTTATTTGGGCTGGAATAAAAGCTGTTTTTAATAACTCATGTTAAGCTCAGTATTATTCGCCCCTTCAGCAATATTAGTGTTGGATTGTCTCTAGAACTAAGCACTGTTATATAACAGTGTTATATACCCTGATTACCCTAGTGAAGCCTTTACATGTCACTTTAAGCTGAACACTAGTGTCTTGAAGAATATCTAGTCTAATATTATTCAGTCATCATGACATAAATAAATCAGTTATTAGAGATGAGTTATTAACACTGTTATGAATAGAAATGTGCTAAAATAAAGTCCACTAAGCTGCACTTAAAATATTTTAAACAGTATTTAAATCTTCAGCTGTATATTTAATTAGGGGTGTAACGATTTATCATTGTACGATTTATTGCGATGCAAAAATGTCACAATATGCATGGTGGCGTTATGACGATTTGATTACGATATGACGTCCGTTTTCTCTTATTAGTTGAGCTGTTTGCACGTGAGCTACGTTCCACCTGCTGTCGCACGTGAGTTCAGATTGCAGCAGCAGTAATGTTAGCAGACCAAGATGAGTGGAGCTGAATTAGAGGATGGCCCATCCTCTCAAAATCAGACGTCTGGCAACATTTCGGTTGTACAGTCATTGCTTTAGACTCGTCCGCTTTTTGACACGCATACTGGGTCAAACATAGCCAAATTTTTTTAAGTCTTCACAGTGATTTACATACTTTGCACAGCGCCATGGATACCTCCTAATGGTGTTGAAAGAGTCACATACTGTATTTATAAGGTACAATTCACCCTAAAATATCATTCTGTCTTCATATAATGATGTACTGGCGGCCGCAAAATCACACATGACGTGTGCTGACCGTGAGCTGTTACTACAGAGGGCGGACTATGATAGACGTGCGCGCGTCTGCTTCAGTGAACAGAACCTGCAGGTTGTGACTAACAGGTAATAAAGTAGTAAACACCATTCAGTTTGTGGAACAGAGTGATCGTTCAGGAGCCGCGTGGGAAGTATGAACAGCAGTGGAAATGAAACCGAAAGCGTGCACATTATTTAAATAATCATATCGCATTTTAGAGTTATGATTACGACGAGCATGAACTCTTTTGAGTATAGAGGTACACAAAAATGCACGTCAACATGATACACTTGATAGCGCCGACATCAGCGACGCCGAAGAAATAGTAAACCTGCCTAAACTGCTGAAAAGAGCCACGACTGTCCTGTGTAATGAAAAGACGGCCACCCTGCACTCATCATGCCCAACATGAAGACAGCCATCTATAAAAACCTCTCAGACAGATACACATGAGTTCAGGATTATTTTATAGAACTGCTGATTACCTGGAAATGTAGATGCACACACAAAAAACGCAAGTGACCAAGCAAAGCCTTAAGCTCTTACTGTTAAATTCAATTGAATTGAATCATTTCAATAATATTTTATAAGAAGTTTTTAAATTGTTTTATTTTCCAGAGACAGTCCTGTTTAATTTATTTTCTTAAAGAAGGTTCAGTTTAACAAGTTGAAACAAAAGAAATACATAAAAAATAGTTTACTTGGTAATTAAATTATTTTAAAATAAAATTAGCATTTCAGTTTAATTTTCAATTTTTATTCCAAATATCGTGATACATATCGAATCGTGAACATTATATCGGGATACACATCGTATCGTGAGCTGAGTGTATCGTTACACCCCTACACGTTGCACATTTTTATGGAGCATGAGGTGTTTTATATATGTATTGCTGCACATTTCCTGCGTATTTTGTTCAGGCAGGAGAAGATCAACATGTGCATAGTTATTCAGTCATTTTGTAAATGTAATTTGGAATTGTCAATACACACTTCTCATCCGGTGTGTGTGTGTGATCTGCATCATGCATTCAAACCTGTTAGAAGTACACCGAGTTATCGATCGCAAAACTTGTATATTGTATATTATACAGTATATACCTCCTGTTATTTCCCCCCAATTTCTGTTTTGCGTAGAGCAGATTTCTCCAACACATTTCTAATCATAACAGTGTTAATAACTCATCTCTAATAACTGATTTTTTTATGTCATGATGACAGTAAATAATATTAGACTAGATATTCTTCAAGACACTAGTGTTCAGCTTACAGTGACATGTAAAGGCTTCACTAGGGTAATTAGGGTAAAGTTAGGGTAATTAGGCAAGTCATTGTATAACAGTGGTTTGTTCTGGAGACAATCCAACACTAATATATCTTAAAGGGGCTAATAATATTGACCTTAAAATGCTGTTTAAACAATTAAAAACTGCTTTCATTCTAGCCCAAATAAAACAAATCAGACTTTCTCCAGAAGAACAAACATTATCAGACACACTGTGAACATTTCCTCAATCTGAGAAACATCATTTGGGAAATATTTAAACAAGAAGGAAAGAGATAATTACTCAAATAATTCTGACTTCAACTGTATATGCAACTTTCATCTTCAAAGTCTCTGTCTTTCACATGCGTCTGTGTGTAAGCTTTATCCGTAAACACGTTTCCTTTTACAAACTGCAGACATCAGTGGCTCCTCCAGGTGGATCAGTAAAGATGGGTAGACTTGTGTGTATGGTACCTGCCGGACAATAGAATAAACGCCACTAAATTAGCAACAAAATGTGCTTTAACTCACAACAAATCAATCATTTAGTCGTATGAAGTGAGTTATTTAAATGTAAATACAGTTTTTTAGATGCGAGTATCAGTATTGTTATTTTTTAGGATATCTGTAATCTAGTGTCTCCAAATCAGTTAGAAAAGGTGTGTTTAGAGGACATAAACCTAATACTAACATCCTCCGTCCTAAATGCTTCAATGATTTTATTGACGCCGTCTCACACCTCTTATCAAATCTTCTGGCCAATCAAAATCTCTCTAGTGTCTGACATGCCCCGCCCCCTTCTGCTCATTGGCTGTTAATTTGATTTGCCGCTGCTCTCGCTGGCAGAGCTGTGAGCTAAGCAACACTGTTTTATTAAAGGGGAGGGGCTACTCTATGCCCCGCCCTCTCTTTGTGTTTTAGCTGATTATGTCAAACATCGAGTAAATAGTGCACATTTCACCGCACGTCATTTAGTTTCTTTTCAGCTTAGTCCCTTTATCGATCTGAGGTCGCCACTGTGGAATAAACCGCCAACTTATCCAGCATATGTTTTACATTACTGGGAAGCACCCATACACTCTCATTCACACTCATGCACTACAGACAATTTTATAGCGCATGTGTTTGGACTGTGGGGGAAACCCACGCCAACAAAGGGAGAACATGCAAACTCCACACAGAAACACACACTGACCCAACCGAGGCTCGAACCAGCGACCTTCTTGCTGTGAGTTGACAGCGCTACCTACTCTGTCACTCATTTCACAGCACTTCTCCATTGCATCTTCTGAGATCCAGCAGGGGCTGATTGCACATCAGTTTGAGTCGGTTCCTCTGATCACGTGTTGTTGCTCCTCATTGTGTGCAGACCGGTCAAGCGCGCCGCTGATCTGGAGTCAGATTCTCCTCCACCCAAACTGCAGAAACACACACAGACGGTGAAAGCTGAAGTCCTGCGCCCTCCAGCACATGATGATCCTCCTCCAGCATCAGCTCTTCTCTCTCCGGCTCCAGGCTGTGATTCTCCTGCAGCTTCTCCGCTGCTGTCGGCAGGTGTGTTCAGTGCCATCTTGTAGACTGTAGACGGTAATGATGCTATTGAATGAGAATCTGATTTCCTCAGGCCCCCTTTACACTAATATAACTGTAAAAGGGATGGACATGGGGAGCAGCAATACTCAGGTAGGCTGTGGCGTTGATGATCAATTGGTACTAATGGACCCAAAGAAAATCTCCCCCACACCATTACACCACCACCACCAGCCTGAACCGCTGATACAAGGCAGGATGATCCATGCTTTCATGTTGTTGAGCCGAGCATCTGAATGTGTCAGCAGAAATGGAGACTCATCAGAGCAGCAACGTTTCTCCAATCTTCTATTGTCCAGTTTTGGTGAGTCTGTGTGAATTGTAGCCTCAGTTTCCTGTTCTTAGCTGACAGGAGCGGCACCCGGTGTGCTCTTCTGCTGCTGTAGCCCATCCGCCTCAAGGTTGGACGTGTTCAGAGATGCTCTTCTGCAGAGCTCGGTTGTAACGAGTGCTTATTTGAGTAGTAACATTAGTCTCTCTGTCTGTCTCAGGTGTTGAGCAATACATCGTGAGCTCTCTGGAGGAGATCAAGCTCAGACTGACTGTGCTGGAGCGAGCGGTGGCCAGCATCTCCAGAGCCAAAGAGGTGATGCTGCCCGGAGGCGTGTTATTGCCCCTGCAGGACTACCAGGACCTGCAGAGCCTGGAGCTGAGGATGGAGGATGCCCAGTGCCAGAAAGACCTGGTTAGGCAACAGCAGGGCTATTGTAGTTTTGTGTGTTTAATACTTTATTTTTGTAGATTACATTAAACAGAAGAACACCAAAACACACTCATTCACACACACTCATGCACTACGGCCAGTGTAGTTGATCAGTTCCCCTATAGTGCATGTGTTTGGACTGTTTGGAAACCGGAGCACCCGAAGGAAAACCCTCACCAACACGGGGAGAACGTGCAAACTCCACACAGAAACACCAGCTGAGACTTGAACCAGCAACCTTTAAAAGTGTTTAATCCTGAACCATTTTTGTTTGACTCCTCCATATCCGGTTTTCATTAATGTGCGCTGTGTTTCAGACTGCCTATCTAGGCACCATCGGTGGCTGTAATATCCAGATTGCTACAAGACGAATACTAACAACGCTGATCGGACACAACTTAGCCACTAAGCTGACCTGGACCGGCTCCAGCCAGAAGAAACCCTTCCAGAACCTGCGGCTGAAGAGGGTTGTGACGGGTGAGCTAGCATCTGCGGCTATACATAGCTAATGTAAATGATTTACCTGATTTTAAAGCCCTGCTTTCCTCCAGAGTCCGTCAGGATGTGTGGTTTTCAGCCGAGTCTGCTCGACTCCGACATCGAGAATGAAATAAAAGTGTGGCTGCGAAACTCCAGAGACCGAGCGGGAGGACGGAAGCAGCGCTACCTCCGCATGCTAACTAGCTAAGAACAATACTGTGCCAATGCTATCTCAACGCAAGCCAGAGCTCTGATTTGGTGCTCATAGTGTTTATTTTTATATCTGTATAGATTGAGATTGAGGTCGCTGTGGCTCCCTGCAGTCTGGACTGAATGACCTGTAAATAGCTGTATATGAATATGTTGCTGTTAGCAATGTTTCGGAAATTGTCCCTTTAGGTCACTAAGGTTAAACCTGAAGGCTAGATCATTAGTGCTGATCAACACTTCACATCATCATCGTTTCCCCAGGGATTAGAGCAGGGGTCACCAATCCTGGTCCTGGAGGTCTTAGGGTTTAGCTCCATCTTGCCTCAACACACCTGCCTGGATGTTTCAAGTACACCTAGTAAGAGCTTGATTAGCTTGTTCAGGTGTGTTTGATCAGGGTTGGAGCTAAAATCTGCAGGACACCGGCCCTCCAGGAACAAGTTTGGTGATCACAGGGGTTAGAGTAATAATTCAGGATTATTAATGTTTCATTTTTACTCCCATTTTATATCTGTATAATCTACTGTTAATGAGATTTACACATATATAAATGTGCTTATTTCATGTGGACGCCATTTTAAAGGGTGAAGAAACCCGGAGGAGTTGGACCAGCACTGTAAACATTGCAGCATGATGCTGTGGACTGCACACCTCCAGCTGCTGCTGCCATATCAGAGAGCAGATGTGGAGTACACATCACTCAGTTCAGCTTCATTTAAACTACAGGGGTCATGGAAAAAGCATGGCATTTTGCAGGTCTGGAAAAGTTTTGGAAAAACAGACGAAACCCAGAAGGTTTTGGACAAAGTGATGGACAACACCATGCTCTCTGTAAGAGTAACACGCTTCAGTGTCCTCATAGACTTCAGCTCATGGCAGCAGGTAAACGCCTGCTTCAGCCTGTGTAACACGGTGAGCACTGCAGTCCTCTGCAGCACACCCTCATGTTGTCTCTAACAGTGTTGACGTCCATCTCCTGCTAACATTCATGTGTGTTCTTAAACAGCGCTGATTGGCTGTAGCGTTCAGCAGTGCTCAACAGAAATGACTGTGATTGGCTGTGAAGGTCAGATACAGGGATACTCGAGCATTTCAAAGCCACAAAGATGAAACATCGGTGAACTGATGACCTTCACAGCCAATCACAGTCATTTCTGTTGAGCACTGGTGAATGCTACAGCTAATCAGCACTGTTTAGGAACGCCATCAGCTGTGTTTATCTGCTAGCAGGGAATTCTCTTAAAACTTCAGTACTGAAATTCAGTATCGTGACGAGTCTAATATACTGAAGGAATCAGTTCATTAGCTTAAGTTTAAGAAATGGCATCTAAAATGTGTGTTTGGGAAAGAAAACGTTAGCTAACTAGCGCCATTTCTCTTAGCTGAAAATGAGCTCTGATATCGCTTTTTATATGCAATACTCATTCAGAACGGACCTTTAGGTCACTTGGAGGATGGTGAAATGATAAATGTGTGTCACTTCTCTTCGCTGATCAGATGTACAGTCGGGTACACGGGCTTCCTGTGTGACTCAGACGAGACTACCGGGTTTCTTCCCACCGCAGCCTCGATTTCACTTTTAAAATGGCGGCCGCGTGAAATCAGGCTATTGTTCAAATCAACGCACACTATTGCTTAAACCTGTTGTTAGTGATTCATCGTCACTAGTGTGTGTGTGTGTGTGTGTGTGTGTGTGTGTGTGTGTGTGTGTGTGTGTGCGCGCATCAGCTCTGGGTTTACTGTGGTACACGGTGATTTGTTGCGCACTTATGTAACTGTTTACATTCATGTCATTTCAATAGTCAGTATAACTGTGATCATTTATTTAAAAATGTTTAAATAAACATTTAAATAAAATTAAATAAATGTTTATTTAAAATGAGCTGGAAAACACCAATTTTGAGGGTTTTTTTGGGGGACAATTAAGTTGTTTTCTGTTCAATCTGCTTAAGTTTGTAAAATTAATGACTGGGTTTGTGTTTTGGCATGAAGGAGCTGTGTGAAATCCAGCATTCTGTACAGTGTGTGTTGCGTTACAGATGAAGTTTTGTAATAAATAAATAGTTATATGCTTTTCACCCTCCTGCTGTCCTGATTGGGTGTTTCCCATGTCTTGTATTCCATGTGCTTGTTTTCCCGCCAATTATTAGTGTTCATTAGTTCCACCTGTGTCTCTCCCCTGATTGTAAATGTCATGTATTTGTGCCCCTCAAGCCACGGTCACACTGGACTTTTCTCCCCATACACTTCCATTCATACGCAGACTGGAAACACAAGCTCTTGTGACAAGTTTCACAGTTTGCTGCGCTGAAAAGTGCGAGCTTGGTGAACTCTGAGCTGCGCGAGATCAATGGAGGATCAAAACATGACTGAAGGCACACCAACAGCACCTAGTTTGGGTGTCTCCTTGATCTGACCCGTTAACGTCAGGTTCTGGAATCTCTTCTGATGAGTTGGTTCGGGACAGGGGCGCAACTACACATTTACTGAGGGGTATGCGGGTTCAAATTTTGTGTGATCCCTCTTATTTTATATTAATTAATTAATAATAAATGAAGACAAATTTTCAGATTAATCTTATAACTTTTGACATTATGTATGATTTGACAGTTTATTTTGATAAAAATAAAAACAAATCTAAACAGTTACATCTACAGTACATGAACACTTTAGGCTGTGGGACTGCATGTTATTGTGTTAAATGATTTTGAATTAAACAATAACAATATTATATTCGTTTAAATGCAAAATAATGTTTTTTCAACAAAACATATTTATTTATTTTTATCATTTGAAACTTTTAATAAAATAGTTTTGGCACAACGGCGCCCCCCCATGTGTGGCGCCCCTATGCGCCGCATATACTGCATACCCCCTTGTTGCGCCACTGGTTCGGGAGTGTTTGATTAGGGAGAGGTTGAAAATGTGTGCTGTAGGAGTGCCTTCAGGAACAGGTTTGGGGAACACCGCTGTAGATGGTAAAGGGAAGTTTATAAAAGAAAAAGTAAAACACAAATAACCTCATAATTAATGTCTAAACTGTCTAAATGATTTGCCAGCAGTCAAAGTGTCTGCCAACCAGTGCATTTATTACACTCGACATCAAAACGGGTTCATGAAAGGGAAGATTGTGCCGCTTTAACTGCTTCACTTCAGTTTTAAAGCCATTTTAAGCTCAATATTATTCGCCCCTTCAGCAATATTAGTGTTGGATCGTCTCCAGAACAAACCACTGTTATACAATGACTTGCCTAACTTTACCCTAATTACCCTAGTGAAGCCTTTACATGTATATCTAGAATATCTAGACTAATATTATTTACTGTCATCATGACAAATAGAAAAGAAATCCACTATTAGAGATGAGTTATTTACACTATTATGTGCAGAAATGTGTTGAAAACATCTCTCTGTTAAACAGAAATTGGGGGAAAATATACAATAATTAAAATTTCACAGAGGGCGAATAACTTCAATTTCAGCTGTACACTCCTGAGTGTTGTGTTCTCATAAAAATGTCTAAAAAAACCTCTAAATGCCATTTAATATTATCATCTAAAATTTGCATTTTATTCTCTAACTCCTGTGTGGGGACTCAGTCATTTTATAGTGACGAATAAGTTTTTAATATATTTTAGATGTTTAATATGTTTTTAATATTTTTAGGAACACATTTTAAATGGCATTTAGAGGTTTTTGCAATTGAACTCTTCATATAATAAAGTACAGTAAACAAATCTGCGACGGTGATAAGAAAGGACATTTGCAGAAGCTGAAGACTAAAGGCTGAATTCTAGACCCGCTTCAGTACAGGTGGCGGACTTTTATTTTGGCATTGTGTTATGATGTCATGAAGCTGCGTCGCGTTCCAGCGTCTGTGAAGAGAGAAGAAATGATGTTTTTCGACATCTAAAGTGTTTAAATGAACAGAAAAGCGCTGCGTTATTTATATATTTTATTGAATGTGACATTGTAAAGCTTCAGTTGACAGTTCTGAGAGTTATTTAGTGCGAGTACAGCGCGTTTATACACAGAAGAGCAGCAGAAGAGCTTATTCAGCTCTTTGTATCGTCATTCAGCTCATCACAAACACCAATTCACACACTGTAAGTATAAATGAAGACACTTCCGCACTAAACCTGCTCATCTTCTCATCTAAATGTGGTTTAACTTGCAAATAAATCTTAAATGCCCATATTTGTTTGTTGATTGAATGTTTGCTTGTGAATCAGGAGCTGTGTTCCTTTAACTGTGACTGATTCTCCCCCAGTGCACACTAACTAGTTCACTAGAGAAGTGATTGAGACACAGACAGAGGTTTAGTGTTGATTTCTTCTTGTTTGTGTTGATTCTTCTCCTCTTAAACAGACAGAGAAACTCCTGCTGAAGCGACTGAGCTCCACTATTATAAAGATGGCCTTTATTAAAGAGGAGAGTGAAGACCTGAAGATTGAGCAAGTGTTCACGTTGAAGAAAGAAGAACCTGAGGAGCTGACAGGTTGGCTTTCATTCTCAAAGATTATAAAGTTATGGAACCACATGAGAGAGAGTTTAAAATTTAATTAAAACTTTGGGGTGAACTATCTCTTAGACTTGATATTAACACATCTGTTGTTCTGCGTTGATCAACCAGAGGCCGTGCAGGACCCTTTAGGAAATAGCAGTGGCTGTGTCAGTCTTTCAGTATCATCTACAGCTAAAATAATAGTCTAAAGGCCTGTATTATTCAGTAAGCAAGTTGACTTTAAATATAACTATAAATGTGTCCACAATGACGAATGATGAAATCTGTTTATATTTAGTTTATACTTTTAATTTGCCATTACCCCGCTGTAAGCAGCAGGTGTCCTCAGTGTGCTGCTGGAGCATCTGACTAACGGCTAAATCCTCATCTAGACATGTGTTAGAGGTGCCTTACACTGCATTGATCCAATAAGTGAAAGTGTTCTCTGATGTAGTAGTTATGCTCTTTAGGGAAGTTCTGAAGTAAGAATTGTGGATAAAATATTGGCTAAACTATGATTAAACTCAGTAAAAGAGGCTCTTTTGTGATGTGATGTAAACACAGGCAGGAATTAACATCAACCTCTGCATTAACAGATGTGAAGTGTAGTAAAGTGAGTTGCTGAGCTCTTACTGCTATTTTACTGAAGTAAACGATGAGTGATTGACACTACACATTGGTTCAGCAGTCTCACTCTAGACCCAGAGACCAGCCAGTCAGCTAACACTACACTGCTCATAGCGTCACCCTGAGCCCACTGGAGGTAGAACTGACTCTTCAGTGCCCCCGCTGGTTCTGTCCAACTCTGATTCCCCAGTGCCCTGACTGGTCCCCTCCAGTTCAGACATTCTACTGCCCCCACTGGTTCTGTCCAGTTTTGATTCTCCACTGCCCCCATCGGTTCTGTCCAACAGTGACTCTCCAGTGCATCCACTGGTTTTGTCCAGTTCTGATTCTGCAATGCCCCTGCTGGTTCGGTCCAGCTCTGACTCTCCAGTGCCCCTGTTGGTTCTGTCCAGTTCTGATTCTCCAGTGCCCCTGCTGGTTACATCCAGCTCTGACTCTCCAGTGCCCCCGTTGGTTCTGTCCAGTTCTAAAAAACTCCAGTGCACTCACTGGTTCTGTCCAGCTCTGATTCCCCATTGCCCACTGGTTCCTTCCAGTTCAGACTCTCCAGTGCCCCCACTGGTTATGTCCAGCTCTGACTCTCTAGTGCCCCCGCTGCTTCTGTCCAGATCTGTTTTTCCAGTGCCCCGACTGGTTCCCTCCAGTTCGGTCTCTCCAGTGCCCCCACTGGTTCTGTCCAGCTCTGACTTTACAGTGCCCATATTGGTTTTGATTCTCCAGTGCCCCTACTGGTTCCCACCAGTTCTGACTCTCCAGTGCCCCGTTGGTTCTGTCCAGTTCTGAATATCCAGTGCCCTCACTGGTTATGTCCAGCTCTGATTCCCCAGTGCCCACTGGTTCCTTCCAGTTCAGACTCTCCAGTGCCCCCACTGGTTATGTCCAGCAATGACTCTCTAGTGCCCCTGCTGCTTTTGTCCAGATCTGATTCCCCAGTGCCCTGACTGGTTCCCTCCAGTTCGGACTCTCCAGTGCCCCTACTGGTTCTGTCCAGCTCTGAATATCCAGTGCTCTCATTGGTTATGTCAAGCTCTGACTCTCCACTACCCCCTCTGGTTCTGTCCAGGTCTGTTTCCTCAGTGCCCTGACTGGTTCCTTCAAGTTTAAACTCTCCAGTGCTCTCACTGGTTGTGTCTAGCTTTGACTCTCTATTGCCTCCACTGGTTCTATCCAGATCTGATTCCCCAGTGCCCTGACTGGTTCCCTCCAGTTTGAACTCTCCAGTGCCCCCATTGGTTCTGTCCAGTTCTGACTCTCCAGTGCCCCGATTGGTTCTGTCCAGTTCTGATTCTCCAGTGCCCCCACTGGTTTTGTCCAGTTCTGATTCCCCAGTGCCCCCACTGGTATTGTCCAATTCTGATTCCCCAGTGCCCCCACTGGTTTTGTCCTGTTCTGGTTCCCCAGTGCCCCCACTGGTTCTGTCCAGTTCTGATTTCCCAGTGCCCTCACTGGTTCTGTCCAGTTCTGATTCTCTAGTGCCTCCACTGGTTCCCTTCATTTCTGACTCTCCAGAACCCCGCTTGTTCTGTCCAGCTCTGACTCTCTAGTGCCCCCACTGGTTCTGTCCAGTACCCTTGCTGGTTCTATAAAGACTTCATCGGAGGCTGCTGTAAATTTAGTTGGAATGTAGACTTACATTTAAGAGGTACAGTTCAGTGATACACCAAATATACCACTATTTTGAAGTGTATGAATTTTACCCATGTACATTACGTCACAGTTAGGCTGTGCTTTTCCTTTAGGGAGCTCTACACTGCAGCTGGTTTATCCAGGGATGCTCTTCCAAATGGGTTTTGTACCAGATTTGAAGAAAATTCCTTTCAGTTGTCTGAATGTTTTGTTGTGTGCCGCTTTATGGAGTCACACTGATGTGATTTGTATTTGTCCTTGCCGTAGACCTGAAGCCACCAAAACAGGAGGATCAAGAAGAGGATGAGTTTGATTTCATGACTATAGTGGACTCCATACGGGCTGAAAATATAAATGCTGAAAGGGAAGAATCTAAAAAGAATTTGTCCTGCCAACAGTGTGGATTGAGCTTCACATCGTTACACGATTTGGAGAGTCACCTGAGCACTCACACTAACAGACAACCCTTTATATGTGGTCAGTGCGGGAAGAACTTCACAAGAGGACATAATCTGCAGTGTCACATGAGAATTCACACTGGACAGCAGCGGTTTAAATGTAGTCACTGTGGAAAGGGTTTCAACGGAAAAGCAACTTACCATTACCACATGACCATACACATCAAGGAGAAATCCTTACCATGTGATCAGTGTGGGAAGCGTTTCACACATGAACTAAGCCTTAACGCCCACAAGAGAGTTCACTTACCAAAACGAAGGTTTAAATGTAAGCCATGTGGAAAGATTTTCACTCGGAAAGCAAGCTTGAACGCCCACAGCGCAGTGCACACTAAAAAGAGGCCTCATGTCTGTAATCAGTGTGGAAAGAGGTACACACATAGAAATGCCCTACATCGACATGAGAAGGCTCATAAACCTTAAGGACTTGAAGGTTTAGCGTGTGGAAAGAGCTTCAGGAACAGATGTAGAAACTGGGGGGAACCAGTCAGGGCACTGAGGAATCAGAGTTGGACAGAACCAGCGGGGGCACTGGAGAGACAGTTCTACCTCCATTGGGCTCGGGGTGATGCTATTGGACCTCAGATGTTTAACTGCAGAGAAAACTTTCATAAGCCGTCTATATGAAATGTTGGTTTGTCCAGATGTATTCTAGTTTCACAGAGTAATTTGCTGACATGTTTGTTTTTTCAATAAAATGTATATAAATTTGGTTCCAGGTAATGTGTGGTTGACATAACCTTCTACAGTATAAAGCCGTCACATCAGTGATGATTTAGACACAAGCTTAACAAACGTTTTGAGTGAATTGTTCATAAACCTTTTGTGGAATCTTGGATTCCAACAAATCTTCATGTAGAGTTAATCGGGTTGTTGATTGTGTCCTGTCGGATGGTGGTCCACCCCTTTTTTAAGTGAAGTTGCTGGATATTGGCCGGAACTGGAGCACGCTGCCGGATACGCCAATCCAGAGCAATGGTGTCAAAGTCGGTTCTCTGAGAGCTGCAGTTCTGACACCTCTGGTTTATGACTTATGGAACTAACTTTGACACTTATGGTTTATGACAGGGATCACCAAACTTGTTCCTGGAGGGCCGGTGTCCTGCAGATTTTAGCTCCAACCCTAATCAAACACACCTGAACAAGCTAATCAAGGTCTTACTTGGTATACTTGAAACATCCAGACAGGTGTGTTGAGGCAAATTGGAGCTAAACCCTGCAGGGACACCGGCCCTACAGGACGGAGATTGGTGACCCCTGGGCTAAACTATAACTAAACTCAACAAAAAGCTCACCAGCTTGTCACTGGGGTTTCTCAGAGATCGGTTCTTGGTTGCCTTCTCTTTTCTGTTTACACCACATCACTGCAAACCATCATCTAATTGCATGGTTTATCTTATCATTGCTATGCCGATGACACACATCCCTATCTTTTATTTCAAATAACCCAACGGTAGCTGCAAAGATTTCGCACTTCCTGGTGGATATCTGGACTTGCCTATAGCTTAATTTGACAGAAAAAGAACAGTCCAACTGGGATCATCTACCGTTACCTCATGTAATTCGATAAGGAATCTTGCGGTGATCCTGGATGATCAGTTGTTCTTCAATGAGCTCATTGCTAACACAGCTAAATCATGCAGGTCCCCCCCCCCCCACCCCCGACCCTTCCTAATGGTACCCTTCCATGCTGCACATTTAGTTCAAGCTCTTTACAAGGCTGTTCAAGACTACTGCAGTGCTATTCTAGTTGGACTCCCATATTACACCCTTAAACCTCTACAGGTGATCCAGAACTCTGCAGTTAATCTGGTCTTCAGTAAAACCCGAGAGCTCTTCTATCCGCACTTGCTACCAGCTGACGCTCAGATCTTGAAGTTCATATCATTGATGCTTGCTTACAGGACAGGCACTGCACCCTCCTACCTCCACCTGCTCCTGAAGGTCTACATCCTTTCCAGGAGCCTCCTGTCGGGGAGTGAGTACTGCCTTGTGGTACCATCACAGAGAGGCTCTAGGTCACTTTCCAAAACTTTTTCATTCAGTGTTCCTCGCTGGTGCAATGATCTTCCCATTCCCCCATGGATTGCGGATACACTGGTATCCTTCAAATGACAACTAAGAACCCATCTCTTCCGAGATTACCTGAGCACACAAAAAAGCTCTATTCTAGCTCTAAGTCCAGTTCCTTTGTATAATTATCACGTCTTGTATTTATTGCCTCTTCTTGTTGAATTGCTGAATGCCTCCTCAACCGTAAGTTGCATTGGACAAATGACAATGCGAATGTAAGAGTGCATGTAGAGTTAGATTTAAGGGGTTTTGTAATGCATACGTTTTAACAATGCACCTTTACAACACAACAAGCCTACGTTCTACCTCAGGGGTGTCAAACTCGGTTCCTGGAGGTGCCTTAGCCCTGCACAGTTTAGTTCCAACCCTGCTTCAACACACTTACCTGTAGCTTTCAAACAAGCCTGAAGGACTTAATTAGTTTGATCAGGTGTGTTTAATCAAGGTTGAAACTAAACTGTGCATACTGAGATCCTTCAGGAACTGAATTTGACGCATGTATTCTAGCTGGACCAACTGCTCCCAGAGGGGGGAAATCCCTCATCAGGGGTGCCCTGCAGAGTTTAGCTCCAACCCTAATCAAACACACCTGAACCAGCTAATCAAGCTCTTACTAAATATACTAGAAAGTTCCTGGCAGGTGTGTTGAAGCAAGTTGGAGATAAACTCTCCAGGACACTGACCCTCCAGGACCTTGGACACCCTTCACTTGTCTGAATGTTTTGTCTGTCTGTTGCTTTATATAGTCAAACTGATTTGTGTTTGTCCTTCTTGCTGTAGACCTGATGCCACCAAAACAGGAGGATGAAGAAGAGGATGAGTTTGATTTCATGACTATAGTGGACTCCATACGGGCTGAAAATATAAACGCTGAAAGGGAAGAATCTAAAAAGAATTTGTCCTGCCAACAGTGTGGATTGAGCTTCACATCGTTACACGATTTGGAGAGTCACCTAAGCACTCACTCTAACAGACAACCCTTTATATGTGGTCAGTGTGGGAAGAACTTCTCGAGAAAGGATTATCTTCTTTGTCACATGAAAATTCACACAGGAGAGCAGCCGTTTAAATGTGGTCAGTGTGGAAAGGGTTTCAACGCAAAAACAAATTACAATTACCACATGACCATACACATCAAGGAGAAATCCTTACCATGTGATCAGTGCGGAAAGCGTTTCTCACACGAGCTGAGCCTTAATCACCACATGAGAGCTCACTTAAACAGTTTCCCGTGTAAGCTATGTGGGAAGACTTTCAATCGGAAAGAGAGCTTGAAAGCCCACAGCGCAGTGCACACTAAAGAGCATTCTTTCGTCTGTGCTCAGTGTGGAAAGAGTTACACACACAAAAGCTCCTTGGGTAAACATGAGAAGGTTCATAAATCATAAATGTGGGAGACTCTGTGGTTAAAACTGTGACCTTACAGTAAGAAGGTCGCTGGTTGGAGTCTTGGCGGAGCCAGTTGGCGTTCCTGTGCAGAGTCCGCATGTTCTCCCGGAGTTGGCGTCGGTTTCCTTTGGGTGCTCTGGTTAATTTTCACTGCTGAAAGTAATAGATAGACTATCTATAATATCTAGATAGTAATAGACTATCATAGAACAATGGGAAAGGGACGATGTAGCCATAACTGGGAATAGAACACAGCCAGGAACTGTTTCTAACTACAGCTCCAGAGGTGTAGTTGCAAGTGTACAAGTTTGCAACGCAGTTTGCGAATGTTTGTTGGAATGAAAGATATGCAAACTATGTTTGTAACGACACAACTTGTAATGTTTGTTGGCTAACAATCGTTTTTGGAAACGACCCCCCCTCTGGTGCTTGAAAATGTAAGACTATTATTATATTATTATTATTACTATTGTTATTTTTGTTTTCTGGGCAGTCACCACCATTAACACCAAATCATTCTAAATCTGTTGTGTTGTGTAAATCTGATGGAGTGCAACAGTGTCTCTCATGTCTTCATGGTTTGAAGGTGTGTTCTAAAAGCAGCAGGTTTTCATGCGCTGCTATGTCATTAAAATCACTGGAACTGGTATTGAATTTAAGGTATATAAAGGTCTTTGAACGATACTCAGCCTTAGGTTGAGTGGTGATACGTGTATGATCGAGACTGATTCCTGAAAGACCCCAGTGACAGATAAGTCTCCGCATTGATCCTTTGGGCCAGCCTGAACACCAGCCGGTGACCTACTCACAACTTCTCCACGATGGACGTCCAGCGTTCTCTCCGGCAGAGAAGTATGGCCAGAGGAGAAATGGTCAAGCCCAACTGAGTCTGGTTTCTGTCAAGGTTTTTTCCTTCACTTTGGTTAATTGGTGAAGTTTGTTCCTCCACTGTCGCCTCTGGCTTGCTTGGTTTGGGAGCTGCACATGTGTAACCTTGCCGGTCCTTGCCACCCAATTTGCTCCGAGCTGGAATTGAACCAGCGACCTTCCGCATGGGAGTCGGTTGCTCTACCAAGGAGGCTAAAGACCATGGCCTCTAGCATCTGTCCCTAGAGCACGTGTAGAGGTCAGAGGAGTGAGGTTTACCTGCACACTGAAATCAACTGAACTCTGAAAACTAGACTAACATGGATTCAGTTTACTGGAACTTTTGTGTTCAGCTGCTGCGACACAATCTACAGTGTAAAAGAATTTTATTAAATGATTTGATAATACAAGAAACTTATTTGTTTTCCTAAATGAGCATGAATAAGGGAATAAATCTGGGTGCGTCCTTTTACTTAAGCTGTGTCTCCTAGTTTTTACCGTTACTGATTAAGAAGTTTATTTATGGTGGTCAAAGTCCAAAACCAGTGACTATATCTGGTGGCAGAGCCACAGGAGGATGTGATTTGACACTGCAATTGATAATTATGAAGCACAAAGAAGGTTTACTGATAAGCAGGGCCAGACGTAAGCTGCGGATGTTTTTTGCTATTTCTGCTGGGGAGAAAATCTAAAAATCTTTGGTAAAAATCTGCGGAATTATTTTGGGAGTATCCAGTGGAGTATCATAACTAAAACCTTAATATATAGAATAAAAACTGAATAAATTCACATTCACACATTTACTCAAGTAAATAAACAGAATTAATGATGGGCTAAAAATCTGCTGAAATCTGCGGGCCTACTGATGAGTTATTGAAATACATGGTGAGTGGAATAAACCCTAAAATATTACATTTTAAAAAATAATAAATGGTCTTTTTAAGAGACACTTACTTAATACCGAAGATTAATAAATATATGAAACATTAATTCTTTCAAACGTTTAATTATTTATTTGTTAAAGAAGATATCAGTGTTTAGACTTTTATTTTGGTATGATGCTATGACGTCATGAATCTGCGTCGCCACCCGCGTCTACTGTGAAGGGAGAAGAACGATGAAACGGTTGTTTTTAGACACCTGAAAGTGTTTAAATACGTAGAAAAATGTTGTGGGTGTTTTATAATTTTAAGTTGATGTTTATAAACGCGTTTATGTATTTTAAACAGAGTTATCAAGTGCGCATTTATACACAAAAGAGCAGCAGGACAGCTTATTTAGCTCAAGTATCGTCATTCAGCTCATCACAAAACACCAATTCAGACACTGTAAGTAGAAATGAAGAGACTTCTGCACTAAACCTGCTCATCTTCTCAATTAAATGTTCATTGTGCAGTTCACTAACTGTGGCTGACTGATTCTCCTCCAGCGCGCACTAACTAGTGCACTAGAGAAGTGATTGAGACACAGACAGAGGTTTAGTGTTGATTTCTTCTTGTTTGTGTTGATTCTTCTCCTCTTAAACAGACAGAGAAACTCCTGCTGAAGCGACTGAGCTCCACTATTATAAAGATGGCCTTTATTAAAGAGGAGAGTGAAGACCTGAAGATTGAAGACACATTCACAGTCAAACATGAGGATGCTGAGCAGATAACAGGTTGGTTTTGAGGGAGAGCAGCCTGCCAGTGTTCTCCGTCTGTACGCAATAATAAAATATTGTTGGTTTTCCTTTATGAAGACTTTAGTTTTTAAGATTACAGGTATTAATTACCCTAGTGTAAGCAGCAGGTTACCTCAGTGTAGTTAGTTCTGAAGTAAGAATTGAGGATGAATTATAATCAAATTTATCATATATAGCATTTACATATAATGCATCGATTTACAGCTAATAAAAGGAAAAATGACACTTTTATATTCGGGTTACGTTACAATCATCATAACAGACTTCCTCCATTATTATCGTGAGCTCCTCCATGTAAATAATCCCGCTGTCGTCTCTTTTCTAGCATCATACATGAGGAGAGGCTGCTGTAAATGTTGGGTTGAAGCGTAGTGTTACGGTTAAACTGCTGCTTCATGTAGTAAACGGATGCGATTTGTGTTTTGTTTCTTGCCTCAGACCTGAAGCCACCAAAGGTGGAGGATGAAGAGGAGGATGAGTTTGATCTGATGACTATAGTCGAGTCTATACGGGCTGAAAGGACTGCCAATGCTGAACTGAAGGAAGCTGAAAATAATCTGGCCTGCCACCATTGTGGATTAAGCTTCACATCAGCGCACGATCTGGAGAGTCACACTAATAGACAACCCTTCACGAGGGAAAAGAATCTGCAGGGTCACAGTGGAGAGCAGCGGATTACATGTGGTAAGTGTGGAAAGAGTTTCTCACACAGAGTTCACTCACCCAAAAACACAAAGGTTTCAATGTTAGCCACGTGGAAAGATCTGCAGTGCACACTAAAGAGAATCATATGCAGACTGTCAAGTGCCCTAAATCAACATGAGAGGACTCGTATCATGAATGGAAAGAGCTTCAGGAACAGGGAAAACATCTTAAGAACAGCCCCGTAGACAGGGGGGGTGGGGGAATTTGTCCCATACATCAGCTCATTTGTCTGTTCAATAGTGAAAATAACCCATTTAAAAAGCCTTTAAGACCAAGTGGAATGTTCTGTTGGCTGTCGCTTCACTGTGACTTTAGATAATCACTGCATTACATTATTATTATTGTCACAATATTATTATAATTATGTTTGATTTATTATTTTTTTATTCAAATAGACAAATTCAGTCTCAGTAAAATGAAATGTGCTGGCCAGTTTGTTACTTGCCTAATAAATAGCGATAGTCTCCAGTTTTAAATTCACGGACGATCAAAATAAAGTATGACAGAATATTTTTGGAGCACATCATTAAAATTGCACCTTTAACATGTACCTCTGGAGGTATAGTCACGAAGAATCTGAAATAACTCCCTTTGTTATGTTAGGTCAATGCAAACGCGCGAATAGACATCCTGCGGCGCAATACACGCGAATGCCTGGCGCGACTTGAGCGTTTTGTGCGCGAACCACTCGAGTTCGAAAATATGAACTTCAGCGGACATTCGTGCCGCGTTAACCAATCAGGAGCTTGCTCTTGTGGGGGTGTGATTGTGATGTATCGCCTGTTCTCGGTGTTCCGAGGGAAATCCTCCTGCCGACACCGGACAACAGTTCATCAAACTGGGCTGGGCTCAGTCAGAAGCACTGCTGAAAGCCTCCGTCAGCCAGGTTCAGTTTCTGGAGGAGTTTATGAGCTCACAGAGCTGGATGCACCTCTGAAAGGATCTAGTGGACTCAGACACGGCCCTAAACGTATCGACGCTGTTCTTCAGTCATAAAGCACATAAACACTGTTATTTTCTTCATAAAATCCATGTTAGCCATTTAGCTATGAAGCTAGAGTCACGGGGGAGACAGAAGCCCTGCCCATCATGCGAATCCGCGTCTGTTCTGAAGTGAATTTGACTCGCGAATGAAGCGAGTAACCTCAAATGATCACGTGGCTATTTACGCACAAATAGCGTGATTTATCCGCGTGTTCCGCGTCTGGTGTGAACGCAGCATAATGGTTGGCCACGTCACCGACCAGAGCAGAGTGGTGTTAGTAACACACCTAGAAGTTTTTACTTTTATCCGCTGGACACGGGCCTCACAGCTCTGTGAATGTCGGTGCCGTCGTTTATAAATAACGTCATTTGTAAAAGTAGCTTGTGTGGACGCTACTGCACCAGTAAATAAAACGATAGCTTCGCTATTGAAAAGCGTTGTGATTTACAAATTAGCGACGCTACCGTCACGCTACTGAGAAAAGTAGTTAAGCCTGGTTTATACTTCTGCGTCAGGTGACCGGCGTAACCCACGGTGCATGCAACGCGCGTAGCTGTGCATTTATACTTCTCCTGCTGTCTCTGTCGGTCTGCATTAACACTTACGAAACGCTAGTTGGCTAGGTGTAAATGTTCCTCTGTGTCGAGTTTCTTCACTGCTGTTTTGTTTTTTCTGAACACTTCCTGGATGTACAAGTGGCTCAAACTCGCTCATTTTGAGGCAGGAACCGGCGGACGAGCAACAACTTTAACTATAAGGTAAACACAAAACAAAACTTTCTTCTTCACGGGACTCCACACTTGTAAACATTCGCTCCATAGGGCTTGCGCCGCTCTCTGTCCCGCCCAGAATCGTCAGCACTACCAAGCCGACCAATCACAGAGCTTGCGCTACGCGTTGTTGCGACATGTAGCTAAATTTTTTGAGAGGTGCACGTCAGCGACGGCCAAGGCGTAGGGCTATGCATCGACATTCATTCATTCTCCATCAGCTTAGTCTCTTTATTTATCAGGGGTCGCCGCAGCGGAATGAACCGCCAACTATTCCAGCATATGTTTTACACAGCGCATGCCCTTCCAGCTGCAACCCAACACTGGGAAACACCCATACACACTCATTAACATACACTACAGCCAGTTGATCAGTTCCCCTATAGCATGTGTTTGGACTGTGGAGGAAACCCACGCCAACACGGGGAGAACATGCAAACTCCACACAGAAACGCTGATTGGGGGGTTGGGAGAGATTAAGGAGCCCTTAATAGGAACTCTGGGGCGCCCAAAACGGTGTGGGATCTCAGAATTTCTCCCCCTGGACTGTATATTTAATAGTATGCTGCTGTATGCTGTAGTATAAGAGTAGTGAACTCATCACATGTAATAAAAGCTGTAGTTTTCCTACAGTAAAGTGAGCTGTACTGTAGTATAATATACCCTACAGCTGCAGAAGACTGAGTATTGGGTCATTGGTCTATGTTACTGTTCTGCTTACAGATTCAGTGAAGGACTTTACTATGGTATACTGTAAAACACTGAAGTGCTATAGATGTATTGAGCTCATGACATTTGTCAATTAGTTTAGTGCATAATCTCAGTGGAGGATTTATTTTTTGATTAAAGGAAGATGGAAATAAGTTGTTTAGTAAACCATGTGCTGTGGCCTGAGGGGTTTTCTGCAAGTCTGGATTTTCACTGTCCTCAGTCTTCTACTGCATCTCCAGTGTTTCTACATCATTCGCAGGCCTGTAGCCAGCCTGGTGTAAGCGGTAGTTCTTTTTTTCTTAAAAAACGGGGCTTTTTTGCAGTTATACGCCTCATTTTCAGTTTAATTATGACTTAAATACTGCATTTTAGTGACTTTTTATGCACATGAAGTAGTCGGATGGACAGTTTTTGATGTACTAAAAATATTTCCTAAAGTTTTATAAAAACGAAACATGAACTAATACTTATTTTTAAAATATATATATATATTACTTCATATATCATTAGAAAAAATAGTTATCTGTTAAAGCAGCGGTGGCCAACCCTGTTCCTGGAGAGCCACCTTCCTGCAGATTTCAGTCAAACACACCTGAACCAATTAATTAGGACCTGAACACCACGTGATCATTACAGGCAGGTGTGTTTGATATGGGTTGCAACTGAAATCTGCAGGAAGGTAGATCTCCAGGAACAGGGTTGACCACCTCTGAGTTAAAGTCCTACATTCAGTTACATTGCATCTACATGCCAACTAATTCTCATCAGATTATCAGTAGACTGTTAGGGTTAGTTGACATGTACTTGCAAAGTCAGTTAAATGCCTGTTGAATGAGCAGAACCATATTAAGCAGACAGTTTACTAATACTCAAATGCACCATCAGAATACAGTGTGACCAAAACACTTTAAATTAACTTGTTGTAGTACCTTTTTAATACATTATTTCATTAATATAATGCTCATTCCTAAATGTTTGCCTCTACTATACATTACTGTAGTATTGTAAATGTGTAACAGCTGGGTTGACTGGATGTTTAGTGTGTGTTGTTATACACCAGGGGTCACCAAACTTGCTCCTGGAGGGCCGGTGTCCTGCAGATGTTAGCTCCAGCCCTAATCAAACACATCTGAACAGGCTAATCAAGCTCTTACTAGGCTTTCTAGAATCACCCAGGCAGGTGTGTTAAGGCAAGTTGGAGCTAAACCCTGCAGGGGACACCGGCCCTCCATGAACGAGACAATGTGTTTAGCGTATTATTTACAGTAAATAACTGAACTGTTGTGCCTCGTAGGATTCACTGGCAGTTTTATCGATCAGATATGATCGACCTGCCCTGCTGAAAAATCCAGCTTAAACCAGCCTAGGCTGGTTGGCTGGTTTTAGCTGGTTGACCAGGCTGGTTTTAGAGGGGTTTTGGCCATTTCCAGGCTGGTTTCCAGCCATTTCCAGCCTGGTCTTAGCTGGTCAGGCTGGAAAATGACCAGCCAAATCCAGCTAAAACCAGCTTGACCAGCCTGGTTTAAGCTGGATATAGCTGGTTTTGGCTGGACTCCCAGCTTGGCTAGGCTGGACAAGCTGGTTTTAGCTGGTCATCTCCCAGCCTAACCAGCTAAGACCAGGCTGGAAATGGCTGGAAACCAGCCTGGTCGACCAGCTGAAACCAGCCAATCAGCCTAGGCTGGTTTAAGCTGGATTTTTCCAGCAGGGTGGCTTTAAGTTTCTTTTATTTAAAAATAAACATTGCAAAACTAGCTGACATGTAGCTAAGATACTTCTGTCAGTTAGCTTTTAGCTTAGCTTGCTACATTCCCCAGAGGGTAGCTTTAGTGTAGCTAAGCTACATCTTATGTTAAGTAGCTAATAGCTTAGCTTACTGCATTTTCAAGTAGCTAACTCAACACTGCTGATTTATTACTGTGTTTTTTATTTTAGACTTGTTATCGCTGAAAGAGGCAAGCACAGGAGCTAAAGAAGGCTTGGCGTGTGAACCGTGTGGGATGACGTGTGCGCGCAGGATAAACTGTGAAGCTCAAATGAGGATCCACAGCGGAGTAAAGCTCTACACGTGCCAGCGGTGCGGGAAGAGTTTCTCTCTGAAAGGAAGCCTGACGCGACACATGCAGAGGCACAAACAGGAGGATCAGTACAGCTTCCTGAGGAAAGGAGATCCTTCAGGAGACAAACCCTACGCCTGCTCCCAGTGTGACCGGAGGTTTAAAGTTGGGGCGAGTCTGATGCTTCACATGAGGAGTCAC